CCCAAAAAAAAAAAAAGTCTGGGAGAGGAGGTATATGGACAGACTGCAGGAAGGAGGGCATACTATGACTGTATTTCACATGAATGCCCACCAAAAGGCATCCATTGCAAAGGGCTCTTATTATTATATTAGATCAGGTAAACATAAACGGCATGCCCTGCAGACATCAGTCAGCAGCCTCGTTCTCCAATCATTCCCAGAAACATTCAGTGACTCATGAGCCGTGACAGTGAGGTTGGAACTACGTATGGGTTCACCACTAGAATTTCCTTTCCTCTGGTTTGACAAGTTCAAAGTGCTGAGTCATCTAATTAGCCAACATCAAGAATTAACTATTGAGACCTCAAGTGGCAGCATTTCCTGTGAGGATCAACTAGTCACTTGGTACCAAGCTTATTACCATCTTTTATTATGCAGAAGGCAGAGATCCAAACTGGAAGGAACAGAGGCTTACTTTGGATATAGATTTGCCTTCCCTGTCCATGTTTCTGCCAGCACTACCATACATGGCCTCACAGAAAGCCTTAGTCGCCACGACCTTCCACACGACTTACATCTGATCAGGGACCTCCTCACAGTAAAGAAGTACAATCCTGGGTTTGTGCTTATAGAATTAGCTGGTCTTATCACACACACATTCATCTGGAAACAGCTAAGCTCACTGAAATGTAGAGTGACTTATTGAAGTCTCAGTTACAGTCATATTCGATGCTCTTATTTTACAGCTTGCAGCGCATGCTTTGAATCAGACATCATTATGTAGGGCTCTTTCCCCATAACCATTTCCAGAAAATGAGTGCTGAAGCAGTTCTAGAACTACACTGAACAACCTTCTTACAGAATTTGTTTCCTATCCAGCAACTTTGCCCTCTGCTGATTTGGAGACCTGTTTCTAGGAAAAGACTACCTCCACCAGCTAACACAAAATATGTTCCCTAAATTAGAGGTGAGAAACTTTGGGCTTCTTGTGCTAATGAATGTGGGAATGCAATCCATTAGCCAGAGTGACCGACCCTGATGGGCAGGGTTGCTCCTACATAATGGAAAGCAAAATGAACTCTTCAGATAAGGTTAATGGAAAACTACAGAACCAAAACAAGGGGTTGGTCAGGCCCTGAAGGACTAAAGGTTTGAATCACTCTACCAGTTAGCCAAAGTGCAGGCTAAAAGCACAATACATAGGCAAATGGGAGTGGAAGCAGGAAGCAAATGACCATTCTGGTGGCCTAGGGGTAAAGTCTCAGGACTATTACAACAGCTACGCAATGCCTGAGTTAACCTCCGGCTAGGGATCTGACCCATGTATGGCGCAGCAGACCTCTCCTGACTCACCCACTGCTCCCCTCAGCAGTGTATTTCAGTAACTCCACCTGTCCTGTTCCCCACTCTTGTCTCTGGTGAATCCTCTCATTTCCTGTACCTCTGACCAACATCCCAGCTCTTCCACGAAAAAGTATATAAAACGAAGTAATTGTAGCATTGTGGTCAATTAAGTGCACTTAAGTAGCTTTATTTCATATTTGCTAGTTGTCATTAAATAATTTGATCATGCTATTTTTCTTTCTTCTTCCCATTTTTATTCTATATCTAACTTGTTGGAAGCTAACTTTACAACTTATCTTTAAGTAACAATATTCAGTGGGATTGTGACAGGAATGACCATGACATTCAAGACTGTACATCTCATTTTGGCAAAGCTTTAAAATCTGCACATTTGTAAGAAGGGTAGCCATTTATTTTTAGACAAAAAAAAAATATTGCTTCTTATTGTATATATGTGTACAAGAATACATATGGAAACTGAATCATCCAAGGGGTGGGTGTGCCAGTCATTGATTTAGTTAAACAAATTCACCTTCTTCGCCTTCTCTGTGAAAATGGACTTGGACCCTTTAGATTTTCTTGACAGCTTTGTCAGAATGTTGCTGGAGACACACTGCAGAAAGAGCTCTGCTTCATGGCTCTAGCATGCAAACTTGACAGAAGCATGTGCAACTCTTACCAGCACTGGACCCTTGGAGACTTCCAGATGCATGGTTCTCAGTGTACAGCGGCATCACCCCATAGCTTCAGAAGGCACTCCCTTCCTCCCCAGGCTGTTTGGCTGCAGGATAAGATACCTTCCCCAGAACAGTTTCTCCAACACATTAGAAAACAGATTTCTGACAAGTTCCAGGAGCAGAATTTAAAGTCTGGACCTCAGCTTTGAACACTTTGTCATCCTTAGGGGCAGCAGCTGATCTTTATACCCACTAGCAGGACATTCTTTAGTTTTACTAGTTATGCCATGGTTATTCAAATCTCTGATATAGTTAATTCTTGAAATTAATCTTTACCTGATCAATTATTGCCATTTCTCTCTCCTGATTAGACTAAGTTGGCACTAGCCAGATTCAAGAGGCAGATTTATAGATGAGGCTAGGGCAGTAGGGGTAGGGGTGGGCAGAGGATGTCTTCTGGATAAATTTCCAGTTTATGTAATTGGAAGGATAATGGAACCTTTCACCTTCACAGAAAACACCGAAAAGGGGGGCCCCACGCTTGATAGTAAAACTCACAAATTCAGTTTTTTTTAAAAAATGCCCAGAAGACTAGATCAAGAAGATGTAGTACATATACATGGTGGAATATTACTCAGCAATCAAAAAGACAAACTTGTGCTACTTGTAGCAACATGGATGAAGCTGGATGGGATCATGCTTAGTGAAATAAGCCAAAAAGAAAAAGACAGAATACTGGATGGTTTCACTCATAGCAAGAGTGTAAAGGCTCAGGGAGAAAAAAGCAATTGCAATGAAGTAAAAATGAAAAACAAGTAACAACTATAAACCAGAGACATTTTATGGGGGAGGAGAGGAAAATAGGATCAAAATTGGGGCAAGAAGAGCACACAGGATTATGGTGATGGCACACGGTTGAACTGGTGGTGGGAAGTCCACAGGGATTACAACCAAGATGAAAAAAGTACAAAATGAAGAATGCTGTAAAATAAGGTATTTTTTAAAAAAAGAGTTTGAATTGACTCTAAGACACTCAAAATATATCAAATAGGAAGAATGCACTAAAGTTCAAGAATGTATAGAAATCTAGGACTAAGATTGGAGTCATCCCTCTAAAGATGGTTAAGTAAAACCACAGAGTAGTTGAAATGACCTAGGAGAAAAGCAAACTTAAGAATAGAGGATCCAGGACTGAGTCTTGAGGAACTATAACTTTTAATAGTTGGATAGAGAAGATGAGCCTATAACGGATTTTTTTTTTTAATGTTACAAGCAAAAAAGATATTATCTTCAGAAGTTTTTGTTTTTGATGGGGTGGAATTTTGTTTTATTTTAGACTGAAATAAATGTTTCATTGCATGATCTTTTCACAAATTAGTTAAGAATTATTCAGGGCCTCCGGGTGTGCAAGTTTAAGTCTCAGCACTCACTATGAAGCAATCCTCAGCCACAGTAGTACGAGTTTGATCCCTAGGCAGGGAGCTGACCTCTCCTGTCTCACCAGCTACTCCCTCAGCAGTGTATTTCCATCAATCCTCCTATTGCGTTCCCTACTCTGTCTTTGGTGAATCTTCTCACTGACTCCCAGCCCCACAACTCTGGCCACCATCCCAGCTCTTGTATGCATAAATCAACAAATCTTTTAAAATTATTCTAAGTCAATTATAAGCATTTTTTTCCCTCACCACCTCCCTTATACCTTGTCCTTTTCCACTTCCCTCCCTCTTAGGCTGAGAACCCTGAGGATGTTTACTGATGTCCAATGGTTTTGTAATGTGCTAATTTATACTATAGAAACTTCAGCAGTGGATATGCCCAGATATCATTCTGACATGCTTTACTCAAAGGAAATGCTGAAGTTGCCAGAGAGGTGGAGGAAAATGTGGACAACCTTCTGTGTCCCAAAAGTAAAATGCACAGGGTTGCACGGCTCCTGCCCCTCAGGAGCCTCCTGTCCCTCAGGAGAGCCTCCTCTAGCTGACTGGCTGCTGTCAGTGGCTGAGTCTTCAGATTTGCCACAATGCTCAGACCCAGGCCCCTTTCCTCAAGGTGTTTCTGACCCATGACTGGACCTAGGAAAGCCATTTCTATCTGATTCTTTCCTCACACAGCCCTGCTCTTCAGATTGAAGTCTAGCACCTCCAGACTTCTAGTTAAGCACAAAGATAATTTATCAGTTTTAGTCAGCTATTTTGTTACTGAAGAAACAAATGCATCCTGACACACCACCCACAAGCTGACAGGAAGTAGCAAGCCTGTAAGTAGACATTTGTTGGTTTAAAAATTCAATCTTCCCTGCTCGTGGAAGGTATGAAACAAGAGGCTGGTTTAAAAACAAGAAAACATTTTAATCCATCCCAAAAAAACACATCAGTAAATGAGGAGACCCACAGAAAATTTATCGATGCTGGAAGGAGGACATCACTGGCTTCATGCTCTTATTCCTTGCATCCTGAGGCCTTGATGCTTAAAAGAAATGTCCTTGTCCATAAGTATGCCCAGCTACTCAGAAATAAGTTACATACATCTGTGAAAGAGTTCTGGCCTGCTAAGCTGGAAGCGAGCTAGACAGGATGAGAAAGAAGCATCAGCCTACAGTAAATTATGGCAGAACGTCTGCGTGACTATGCAGCACCCTTCTGGGCGTGGCACCTCTGCTGCTCTGGTGTGAACCAGAATTCATAGAGAGGGCTGGCCCAGTGAATGTTCAGTTACTATTTACCATCTATGGTGAAAAGCCCCCAGAGCAAAGTCCCTGACACCTCCTTCAAGCCCCTTGCTGGTTGGTTTCATCATTATCTCGCCTCTTCCAAATCTGTAAGAAATGAATATAAGAGATATTTAGGAGATGGTATTCAACCCACAAATACTTATTAAGAAGCTACCCTGGCCCTCCCTGGTGGCGCAGCGGGTTGGGGCACTGCACTGAGAAGCTAAAGCCACTTCCGCATGAGTTCGATTCCCGCCTGCCCCGGAGGTGACCACATGCGGTGGCAGACCTCTCCTGACCCGCCCGCTGCTCTCCTCAGCAGTGTACTTCGTCAATCTGCCTGTTCTGCTCCCCACTCTGTCTCTGGTGAAGCCTCTCACCGCCCTGAGCTTCAGGCCTGTACCCCAGTTCTGTATGCATAAATAAATAAGTCTTTAAAAAAAAAAAAAAAAAAAGAAGCTACCCTGCACTCAGCCTCTCACCCCACTTAAATACTGACTAGCCCCCTCCTGAAACTAATCTATAACCTTACAAAAATTTCCCTTTCATCTGGTTTTCATTTGCTCACCCTTCCCTTCCTCTCTGATTTCCCATTCCAAAATTCCTTTCTGGGAAAAAAAAAAAAAAGACTTAGTCAAGCCTGCAATCTCAGACAAAATGGCTGAGAAAAGTTATCTGTTGAAGCAGTAATGTTGCACGTCATTCTTACAAAGACTAGTGCTTTTTCTTAGTTTCAATCTTCCTTCTTTGCCATGCCCTAGGGCAGTCAGAAAGAGAAGGCAGAGATCATCTACTCCACAGTCTCTCAATCCACTGGAGAAGAGTTAAAGTAACAAGCTCTGTGCACCGATAGACATGCAGGAGTGCTGTGGGTCACAAGGAGTGCAGGGGACTGGGGGCAGGTAGGCCAGCTCGTAGCTGGCATCCCTGGTAATTCCAGACTCTTCCTCCTTGAATCTGTTACAGGGCAAGGAGAGAGGGGCACCCCTGAACCCCCAAACCTGCCTGCTCCAAATAGGTTCTGCCATATAAGACTTTAATGAAAAGGGACTTTACTACAGTGAGTATACAATACGGAAGACAAAAGAATATAATTTCTAAATCAAACACCTGAAGTTACCCATCCCCTCCTGGGCAAAAGTTCATCCTAAAGGGGTTGGCCCAAAGAAAGTCCTGAAAGCCCGTCCGTCACATTGTCTAAAGCAACTTCTGGCCAGGACACATAGAAAAAGGTCAGAAATGGCCAGACAAGTCTGGGAGGAAAAAAGCAAAATCAAATTCAACATAAACACTGCCTTAGTTAACCTCCCCGTGGGTCTCTCACCCACATCTCTTTCAACCACTCCAGGGCCAAGAAACAAGCATGGTTTCTTCACATATCTCCCTTTGCTCCATGTGGCTTCCTCAGGTCTCCTTCTGGCTCTCCATCCTGCTTCCCACTTCTCAGATTCTTTCTCTTTCTCTCCTTTTCTCTCCTCAGCTCCACCCTCCTTCTGGGAGGGGCAGGGAACCTGGAACTTATCCTCTTCCTAGGGACACCCTGTTACAAAACCACTCCACAGATTTCTGCAAACTAACCTGGCCATAAATATAACTTCCTTGCTCACTCACGGATTCATGCTTCCCTGCTCCCCTCCCTGAAAAAATCACTCGACTTTCAGGACCATATAATCTAGTCCCACCTCACCCCTCAGTGCATCTGCAAATCTGTCACAAGTACCCCACCTAATAAGACTAACTTAACCCCACTTCCTGCCTTCATCCACAATGTCATGCTCACTGGCCTCATATCCCAACTACTCAGTACTCACTAGGTCCATGAAAAACCCACCTGAATGTAAGCCTCTGATAGTGTGATCATCTGGGGAAGGATGTCAGTCACCTGGAGGTCTTGTAGTTCATACCATTTGCCCGTCCCCTGCACAAGTAAGAAGAGTATAGAAGCAGGGGATGCAATCAGCAAGTTAGAAAAATAAGCACCAGACCATTGTCAAACAAAAGTCATGAATACAGAGTGCAGGACCCCTGGTGGGCACCATTCAACTTAAAGAGCAGTTGGGACACATGCCGCCATGAGTTACCTGAGTCACAGTGGAGTTTCAAGCATCTGATACACCTTTTCAGAATTTGAGTGACAATAAAAAAAGAGAACAAACTGATATCCGTTAGTATTCACATAAGATGTCCCCTTGCTACTCAAAATGACAGGCCAGGGACAGTGCTTACTTGTCATAGGAACTAAAAGCAGGTATTCCCACGCCCCATCCCAGAGAATACAACAACTGAAAGACAAGAAAAAGTGTCCTGGGTACACAAATATCCACCATACTAATCCAATTCTTCACCTATGAAACTAATATGTGGCAAACACAGCTCAATCTACCTCGCTTCATGCTTCCATAGAGGGAAAAGGTTTCTGGATATGGCAGTCACTTTGGGAAGCTCACCTGCCTCATCCATCCACTTTAAGAAATGCCGAAGACAAGATACTATAGAGTATAGATATTTAGTATTTTGGGTGTTCTAAGGTGCTCTAGCAGTACAAAGTGTAGGGAACATAAATAAAGAAAGCTCAAGATAATAATCAAGTCCCTGTTCCAGTTCAAGGACATAGTGAAACCAAGTGTCTAGGTTCAAACCTTAATTCCACTGCCTTCAGGTAAATTATTCCAACTTTAGGACTAGGTTCCCCCATAAGTAAAAGATGGCACTAACCCCTGTTTGTACCTGTAGGAGGGCTGTGTGAAGCATGTGAGATGAACACACAGTACACCTGGCATACTTTCCAGACACAACAAAATGTCTGATAAATAGAAGTTAGTTGTTACCAGCCCACAGTCCTAGAAGAAACTGGGACTCACAAATCAGAACAATATGTGCTGATATTCCCATGATACCAAACATGTGCTTGTTTTATTCATTTTCAGTTTGAGACAAATTCACAGTATTTTTGTGCTGAAAGGTACCTTTTACACCAGAACTTCACAAATTTCATACAAATCAGGTATTATTAAAACGCAGATTCTGGTTCAGTTTTATGTTTGGTGTGAGATTCTGCAATTCTCCTTTTTTAAAACATGTATTTAATTCTGTACTTCTGACAGATGATGCCAATACTGCTGAACTGAGGAGCTCATTTAGGTGCCAAGTTCTAAGGTAAGACAATGGTTCTTGATCTCAGCTGCACCCCACAATCACCTGGGGAACTCCACAGCATCACACTGCCTGGGTTCCACCTTGTGGTAATGTGATGCAGGGTCTCTTTACCTTGGTGGCATTTTGGGCCCATTTGCCATGGGAGGGCAGCCTTGTATACCATTAGGATCTTCTACAGCATCCCTGGTCTCTATCCTGGTTGAAAACCACAGGCATAAGAATTTTTTAAATCTCCACAGATGAGTCCAATGTGGAGCCAAAATTGAGAAGCACTGCCTTAAATGAAACACTGACAGCTCTATGTAGAATCCCAAAGTCAAGGCCAAGAAAGTAGAAACAGAAAGCAGCTGCCCTCTACAATGCCAACGGTACACCTGTTTTTGCCCTTCTGGCTAGAGAAGCCAGCACCACTCACATGATGAAGCACGTGGATCCGGTAGGAGCCCTCAGAGGGTTTGCCGTCGTGGACAATGTTGGCAATGAGGTCATAGGTGGTATTCTTGTGTACTGCCTGTACTTCTTCAGACAAGTATTCTCTCAGATCCACATTTCTGATGTTGGGGGAAAAAAAGCCAGATCAGTCAAAGGCTACAAACTACCCTACACAAATGGACCACAAGGCTGTTGAACCCTACTTAGTATCCAGGAAGGCTTGTAGTCACAGAACTCCAGACTTGTGGAAATTCACACAATTTTCCATAAAATAAGAACTTCCAGTAAAAACAGAAAGCCAGGATCTTTGGGCAAAACACATTTGAAAAACACGCCTAGATGTCAAACATGCAAGGCCCAGCGTCTTCAGGCTTGAGGCTTGAACCCAAATCTGCTTTTGGCCATTTCAGAGCTAAGTCTGAGTGTAAGCCAGCTACATCCCTCACAGTTCTCCTTATCAGAACAGCAGTCACGGTCTCCCCTGAGATGCCAGGTTTAAGTGAGACCACTAGTGTGAGCACCTTACCCTCTGCCCTAGCTCAGAATCCCAGGGGACAGGCGCATCAGGTCTCTGGCCTAAGACTCTGCAGGCGTGATCACATGATTATGTGAATGTTATGAATGTGATCACTGTGACTATCTCAATGACAAACCAAAAAAGATCTGATTTTTAATTTTTTTTTCTTCTATTTTCTGGGACCTTGCTTCTGTATTTAATTGTTTCCCACTTTATCCTTTTCTGATTAACAGATTAAGTAATAGAATAGTTACAAGGAAGAGAAACCCACCCAAGGTTGCTGACGCACAAAAGAATTGCCGGAACCAGGCACTGGAGAAGCAGCAGGATCCAAGAGAGTTCTACCTGCCCTCTTTCCTGCTTGCCTTTGACATCAACTTTATTATTCTCATTTCTTTAACAGTGTGGCTTTCTCTTCTTCATGTGACCCATCTGGACATACCGGTTTCCAAATTTCTCAGCTCAGACTGTCAAAAGAAACTACTAAATGGGTTCCTTCAATTGGGGCTTAGAGATATCACTTTTATTTTTGATAGCTGAATATTCACTTTCAGATATAAAAAAGCATTCTTGACATACCTCAAATAAAATCTACACTACATTTCAAGAGTTCAATTCTGTTCAAGTATATATCAGGTAATGCACTGCAAGATAACATTCTATAGTAAATGCTTACCATGAAGACTGTACAAAGATAACTATTAAGAACTACCAAATAGCTAAATAGGGAAACTGCTGGTAACATATAAGAGAATATGTTGGCTACACACTTTGAGGAAAAATAGATCCTGTTATAGCCTACAAATATTCATAAACATTTACATAAGGTAGAATAAAAGAGAGTCTATGACATTTCTAATCTCTGTAAATTGTGTGATGTGCTACCACTCCTAATAAGAGACATGATGTCCTCTCTGGAAAAAATCACATGCCAACTGTGGTTGTGTTCAGTGGCCACTTTTAGACAAGCAGCTTTGAGTTTTAGAGTCTTTATATATTACCTGTCAAAAATACAGAAAGTGGGACCCTCCCTGGTGGCGCAGCAGGTCAAAGCACAGCACTAAGAAGCTAAAGCCACTTCAGCATGAGTTCAATTCCCACCCCGGAAGTGACCAACATGGCGCAGCAGACTTCTCCTGACCCGCCCACTGCTCCCCTCAGCAGTGTACTTCAATGATCTGCCTGTTCTGCTCCCCAATCTGTCTCTGGTGAATCCTCTCACCACCCCTGCACCTCTGGCCTGTACCCCAGCTCTGTATGCAAAAATAAATAAATCTTTGAAAAAAAAATTTTTTAATTAAAAAAAACAAACAGAAAGTTTCCAGTGTAAGCCACTTAGTAATAAAAGAACATGCAAGTTCTCTCTCATTATTATGAGATTTTATTTTATTTTATTAAATTATTATGTAATTTTCTGTTAGTGATAGTTACTTATATTTCTATTGATTGTATAGAACAAAATAGTTAAAGGCAATTTAAATATGAGCCTTAAGAAATCCCTGTGAGGATCAGAAAGAAAACTTCCTGCTAGCTGCTAAAAGCAGACTACTGGCGCTACTTCCTCCTCGGCTTTAACAACAGCTATCTGAACGAGTTCCAGAGAAGTCTTCTCAAGTTTTCATGACTAAACCAAAACTGTGTAAGTGGCAAAAGGAAATAAACACATGCTGAATCATTCAGTCTGAGAAAAGAGGCAAAGGAGCAAACCATACTCATCTCCCAATCAAAACAGTCCAATTTGGAGACTACTACTTAGCTGAAAGGACATTTACATCTGGGCTACAAAAACCCAAATGAGCAGAGGGCACCTAATCGCAGCAAATCTGATAAATCTCTGTTGAAAATGTAAATGAAACAATTAGCAACTGGGGACTATGAATTATCTAGAATCCCATCTCTTTGAAACTTGCAATGTACGGTGACAGATGGTAACCAGATTTAGGCTTACGATCATTATGCAATCTATACAAATGCCAACTCATTATGTTGTATACCTGAAACTAATATAACTTCATGTGTCAATTATACTTCAATGAAAGAAATAACACTATCTGGTACAACTCCCACCAATTTCACATGAAAACTCATGATGTTCAAACAACTGCATCACACATCAAAATTTATAACTTCCTCATCAATAGTAAGAAATTCAGAGCATTATAGACATTACGCTGGAGGGTTCAGGGGAGACGCAGTGAAAAAAGACAGATGAACCCCCAACATAGCAGAACAAGTCTGGAGTCATCCCACTGTCCATGCAAGAAGATGTGACAACAGCAAAAATATCAGCCTCTAACTGCTCAGGCTTATCTTCTAAGGCAGGCAGTATTCCACCTGTGCACCCTACTTAGTCAGTTTTTCCCTGTACTGAAAGTCTACAATTCCAGTAAGCTTCAGAAGAGGGAAAAAGGGGAATGCCTTCAGGTTAACATCTATGAAATCGCTGAAAAATTTTTATTTTCCAGTAAAAACCTTATCTTACATAGTACATATGATCTATGCCTTGCAAAATCCAACTAACAGAGTCCAAAATTAACAATGGCAGAAAAATATAAACAGAAATCTAGGTTCTCTCCACAAGAGTAAGTAAAGCAGAGTGATACTCACGTAATAGGGAAGTTGACGATGGTTGGATTCTTCTCCACAAAGAAATTATTCTTAGTGAATCTCTTAATACAAAAGATTAGATATGGTGGCAGCTTGGTGAGTTGAAAGCGCTTCAGAAAATTCTCCTTATAAGTCTTATATTCCTAAAGAGAGTAAAGAATATCAAATGAGTGCTGGAACACTGGAAAAGAGGTCTGAGTTTGGTTTGATTTGGATTTTTTTTTTTTATGTAATTTTGCCTTACACTTAGATTTCAGAAGACACCTAGTCCCAGAAACGATACACAAGGCTTGGGAGAGCAATCTAGCAAAGACTAACTAAAACACCTCAACCGTGGGCTGTCTTTCAGCCAACACACAATCACACGGTGAGCTCTTTAACTGTAGAAATGTGGGTGTTAGTTTCTACAAGAAAAAAAAGATGAAAAGCTGAAGAATTATTTTTTTTTAAACATTTATCTCTTAATGCATACAAAAACTGGGGTACAGGCCATAGGTGCAGGGGGTGAGAGGATTCACCAGAGACAGAGTGGGGAACAGAACAGGCAGATCCATTGAAATACACTGCTGAGCGTAGCAGCAGGCAAGACAGGAGAGGTTTGCTGTGCCATGTGGATCAGCTCCCTGGCCAGGGATTGAACTCATGCATGGTGGCTGCAGATAGCTTCACAGTGCTCTGCTTTAACCCCTTGTGCCACGAGGGAGGGCCCAAAAGCTGCAGAATTAAAATCATGAAAGAACTTCCTGACCACTGGTTACAAGCACCCATAAATGGGAACATGCAAAGCAGCAGGAGCCCTTCACCAGTGAGAGTATTCTAGCAGAGGCAGCAGCCAATATCCCACGTTCCTTCTTCCTCAAGGGTCCCAAGACCCAGGGGTCAAGTGCATTCTGTTAGGCAATATTCATTGAGACTCCACTCAGCATATCTGAGCAGACAGGAGACCCAGGACATCTACTCCACAACAAGAGACCATCAGTTTATTTTGCTTTATTACAACACAATTTAGTAGAGTAAAAACTAAGGTACAGAAGCAAATCACTAATCATAACCAGAGAAGAAACAAATGCATGCATTCCTCTTGGAAGTGAGTGAGTTCTAGAAGTAACAAGACTCCCTTCAGGGATCCCCAATTTTTCCAAAAAAATGCTTTCGTTTAAAATTAGGAGCAGGACCCCCCTGGTGGCGCAGCAGGTTAAAACACAGCACTAAAAAGCTAAAGCCACTTCAGCATGAGTTCGATCCCTGACTGCCCCAGAGGTGACCACATGGCGTGCAGACCTCTCCTGACCCGCCCACTGCTCCCCTCAGCAGTGTATTTCATCTATCTGCCTGTTCTGCTCCCCAATCTATCTCTGGTGAAGCCTCTCACCGCCCTTTACCTCTGGCCTGTACCCCAGTTCTGTATGAATAAATATTTTTTTTTTTAAAGATTTATTTATTTATGCATACAGAACTAGGGTACAGGCCAGAGGCTCAGGGGCGGTGAGAGGCTTCACCAGAGACAGAGCGGGGAACAGAACAGGCAGATTAATGAAATACACTGCTGAGGGGAGCAGCGGGCGGGTCAGGAGAGGTCCGCCACACCATGTGGTCACCTCCGGGGCAGGCGGGAATCGAACTCATGTGGAAGCGGCTTTAGATTCTCAGTGCTGTGCTTTAACCCGCTGCACCACCAGAGAGGGCCATAAATAAAATTTTTTAATGAATAAATAAATAAATAAAATAAAATTAGGAGCAATAACGTTAATGTGGTAGATACATATGTTGATTCTTGCTGTTGAACACCTTAAGTAGTGTTAAAATAGTTATTTCAATTAAAAAAAAATCCATCTATTAAAATAAAGGCCAGGGGCCTTCCTGTTGGTGCGAAGGGTTAAGCATTATGAAGCTATCCAAGCCACTACAGCACAAGTTCAATCCCTGGCCAGGGAGCTGACCCACATGGCACGGCAGACCTCTCCTGTTTTGCCTTCTGCTCCCCTCAGCAGTGTAATTCAGTAATCTGCCTGTTCTGCTCCCAGGTTTCTGGTGAATCCTCTAACCACCCACATCTCTGGCCTATAACCCCAGTTCTTATATGCATAAATAAATCTTTTTTAAAATTTAAAATAAAAGCTACTATTATTTGTTCACTTTTGAAAATAAAATAAAATTAGGGTACACTTACACCCAAAAATACTGTAAGCATTAGAGTTAAGGCAAGATTTCAAGATATAAAATCAACACACAAAAATCAATTATATTTCTATGCATACACAATAAAAATCTAAAACTAAAATTAGTGAAACAATTCCATTTACAATAGCATTAAAAAAAATACTTCAGAATAAATCTAACAAGGCAATACACTATACAACAAATACATGGCTTATATGAGGTGATTTCCATTTTTCATATTCTTTTAGTAGGTGGCACATGCATGTAATATACCTAGTACACTTAGCAATACAGTAATGTCTTCAATGAGCCTCCAAGACTCCCTATTTCTAGTTGATCATCCCTAATTCTTTACTAGAATTACAGTGCACACTCTCTTATTTCTTATATATCCTTTTAAACTTCCTGGTCTTTAGAGTCCAGAGTAAAAGGAGGGAGTATTAAGGACAGTACCCAGGAAAGTTGATAAAATTCTCAACTGCAGGGGAATAAAACAGAATTAAACTATAAATAAAGAGGCCCTCCCTGGTGGCACAGCAGGTTAAAGCACAGCACTGAGAATCTAAAGCCGCTTCCACATGAGTTCGATTCCTGCCTGCCCCAGAGGTGACCACATGGTGTGACAGACCTCTCCTGGCCCGCCCGCTGCTCCCCTCAGCAGTGTACTTCATAGATCTGCCTGTTCTGTTCCCCAATCTGTCTCTGCTGAATCCTCTCACCGTCCGCAACTCTGGCCTGTACCCCAGTTCTGTATGTACAAATAAATAAATCTTTAAAAAAAAAAAAATATATATATATATATATATATATATATAACATGTGCAAAATAATGTAAAAATAAAACTATTACATTATTTATATATATATAAAAATGAAGAAAATGAAAAAGTCAAGAGGGGGTGATCAGCAGGACAGGTGGCAAATGAGTTACCTTTTCAGTGATGCCATTGAACTTGGCCAGAATGTTGAAAAGTGGCACCTGGGGGATAATGAGCTGCTCCTTCTCATCCTTGTAGAGCGGGGCAGTAGGAAGGTCCAGTGTCAGGTACATGAAGGTGGACTCCACCATCGTCTCCTGATACTCATCATTATGAAGCAGCTGCTCTTTTTCTTCTGCTGGCTAGAGAATTAATAAGAAGAAAAAGGAGAGCAGTATGAGCAGCATAGAAACACTTTAGATAGAAAGGAAACAATGTTTTTGTTCATTTACTTCATTTTCTCTACTGAAGTGACTGACAAGCAGTGCCCAAAAGACTGGGCAGGTTCATAAACAGTAGCACTACCTGGTCAGATTAATGCAAGAACCAATGGGATGCCATATTCACAGTTTTTCTTCACTATATAAACCGGACTATCTAAAAAAGTTTGAGAGGTTCTGAGAAGCTTATGAAAATGGAAAAAAGTAAATAAAACACCAGCACCACCCAGTGGCCAGGCCACAGCAGCCCACATACAACAGCCAACAGCTGAACTACATCCCCCATCAGTCACAGGAACCAGAAAAGGGTGCTGTTGGTGAGTGTTTTTTTGCAGAACCTCTTTCCTGGACAAGGAACCTTGTAAGTTCTCTAAGGATTTCTACAGCAATCCTATATCCCCTAAGTCAGTCAAGCGCCACCTACTTACCAGGTCAGGGTGAGGCAGCTTTTTAGTGAAGATCCTCATGGATCCTTGGAAAACATCGGTCACAATAGCTGTACAAAAAATCAAAAGGCAAACTGTCAAGTTGGAAAACATTTCCAAAATATGCTCCCAACTTTTAAATTTCTAACATAAACCAGGATCTGCCAGCATAAAACCCAAATTAAGTATAGGAACATGCTTTTAACATATCCCATCAAGATACCTTTATTACTATGTGTAAGTGTAAATATTCTGTCCTCTACACAAAAGACCCTTTATCCCTCTAACACAGAGCCTGGCCATTAAGAGAAAAATTAAATATGTTTGAAAAAGATGAATAATTTATGAGATTTATGAAACAAAAAATTCACAAGGAAAACAAGAAACAGTCAAGAAACTCTTCCCATAGCTATATACTGTAGAGAGAGGCAATGTCCACTCTACAGTGGACACAAAAGATAAATGACAAACTAAGGAATGGAGCAGAACAGAACCAAAACCATGAGACCAAAAGCATGAAAGGGTTCTGAAATCCTGATAGAAGTGACGTGAGAACTCAAGGAGGAAGGCGCAAGCTGACACTTGGTAGTGGCAGCAAGGTCATTCAGTAGAAAGTGCCAGTCTCAAGCCCACACCAAGAAACACCAACATCATCAGAACACAAAAAATGACCAGAAAACTCAAGAAGTCTCCAAAGATTCAGCTAGCTGAGCAATTTCTGGGCTAACAGATTTTTCTGGCATTTATGAAAAATGTCTACTGCTAAGTCAACATGGACAGCGAAAGAAACAGGATGCAGTCTGAGCCTCTGTATGGAAGCCAGACTCAGTTCTGCAAGTTTAGGCTCAGGGTGAGGCACTGGCCTTTAGTGCTTCACTTGTCAACTTACAAGTCAGGCAAATCAGCTACTGAGTCCCCACACCAGATCTTGCACAGCCAGAAGACCGGCAGTCTGCACATGATGCCCAGCTCCTCAGTTTGAAACTGAGTCAGAATATCTAGTCTACTGGTCTAAAAAGCTAGTAGAAGCCTGGCCCACCACCACCTGGAAAAGACGTAAAGCACAAGGAAAGGTGCCAGCCAGGGTAGAACAGCAGGCCAACCAGATATGTCAGCAGGCTGAGGCCTTCCATGCCCAGCTCAGGAACCATTCTGAGCCCAGTATTAAGGCACACAGCAATGACCTCCCCCGCAGTCTGCAACAGGTCCTGCCCGCTGTGCTCCTAGCTTAACAAAGGTTCATCAAAAGGCTTCACAGCAAAAATAAAATGCTATTAAAATACAACCATTTTCTAGTAAAGGAAAATGGAGAGAGGCCTATTCAGGAATAAAATTTAGATATGTGCACATAGAAACTATCCTAACATAGGAAGATATACAGTTCAGAACAAAGATGGGGGGCCCTCCTGGGTGGCACAGTTGGTTAAATAAAGCATAGGACTTTGAAGCTAGCGCAGCCACTTAAGCAAAAATTCGATCCCCAGCCAGCGAGGTGACCCACAGGCAGACTTCTATCTCATCTGCTGCTCCCCTCAGCAGTGTACTTTGTCAATCTGCCTGCTCTGCTCCCCACTGTCTCTGGTGAGTGCTCTCACTGCCCCTGAACCCCTGGCCTGCACCCCAGTTCTGTATGTATAAATAAATAAATCTTTAAGAAAGAAGAAAGAGGGGAAGTGGGTTTTGTTTTTTGTTTTTAAAAAAAAATAGCTAAATGAACCCACGGGGATTACAATTGAGATGGACAAAAAATGTACAAAATGATGTAAAAATAAACTATTAAGAAAATTAGCTAACAAAATTCCATTTCATATTTTAAGAAACAGAGAAGAGTATACTGCAAATTCAGTTCATTACAGTTCACCACCTCTTTCAGGCATAGGAGTGATTTATAAATGTCTTTAAGAAGTCATGATCAAGAGTCTTTGTGGCTCACCGTGGCCTTTTTTTAAAAAAAAAAGATTTATTTATTCATACAGAACTGGGGTACAGGCCAGAGGTGCAGGGAGGCGAGAGGCTTCACCAGAGACAGAGTGGGGAGCAGAACAGGCAGATCGACGAAGTACACTGCTGAGGGGAGCAGCGGGCGGGTCAGGAGAGGTCTACCGTGCCATGTGGTCACCTCCGGGGCAGGGGAGAATTGAACTCATGCAGAAGTGGCTTTAGCTTCTCAGTGCTGTGCTTTAACCTGCTGCGCCACCAGGGAGGGCCTCACTGTGGCCTTTTAACATTGACAAAAGCAGCATTATTTTTGTTACTTAGCAAAATGCAATTTAACTGGTGAAATGGTTTAATATTCCATCATCATGTAATTACTGATGTTCAACAGTCTATTAGTATATGATCATCCTTTAATTTAATAAACTACTTATTAGCAATCTAAGTTTCCAAAATACAACCTTAAAAATGAGGCATTTCTTAAGCCAGAAAGAAAAGGAAAAATACCGAATGGTTTCACTCATAGCAGGAGTATAACGGATGAGGCAAGAAAATAATAATAATGAACAGTGATATACCAGAGACATTTTATGGGGGTGGAGTGGGCAATGGGATCAAAAACAGTGGGGGGAGGGAAATGCACTGGACTATGGTGATGGCACATGGGTGACATGGTGATGGGAAACCCATGGGGAGTACAACTGAGATGGAAAATGCACAAAATGATGCAAAAATAAACTATTGAAAAGAAAAAGAAAAAAAAAAGAGGCATTTCTGTATTGTGTTGAGAGATTTTCTCCCCAATATAATTTCTGAATTTTTACAGTACCTTGGGCTTGTTGGTGTCTTTTGTGATTATGTCTGTTCTTATTTTTTTATCTCTGGGAAAGTAATTCATCTTTTATTACAGCAGTATCAAGTTGAAAACAAACGAACAAAAAGTTAGCTAAAAAGAGGTTTCCTTTTACAAAATAATGTGCTTACTTTTCTTCTTCTTCTTTGTGCCTCCCAGAGCCGAGTGCAGAGCATTCAGAAACCAAGACAGAAAGTCAACTCCATCCCCTGGGAAAGAAGAGTAGGACAAGTTGAAGCTGGGAGGCTTCTGAGAGCCCAAACCACGCATTAGATGGCAAGCCTCCACACCCTCCCTTAGAGCCCTTGCCATCCATTTCCTGGGCATCTTCCCAGGAAATGCTGGCATTCCCCAAGGTCAAGCCCTCAGTCCTTCAGTCTTTAGACTCTCTAATCCAACCAGGCCCTCTGAGTCGTATCTGCTCCAAACCTGCTTCTCATGACCCACCAATAGTCATCACTCAATTTCCCCTCTATGTCACACCTCAGTTCAAATGTTTTTAAAACAAAAATCTGATCTCACATCTCTGCTTAAAAGCTTTCACTGACTCCCCATTGCTACTAGGGTACAATCCAAGTTCCTTATAACGGCATATATGCCCAACAACCTGGTCCTACCTTCCCAAGCTTCATCTTACCTCTTATATTGCCCTGTAGGCTCCGAGCAGTCAGTTACTTGCAGCTTTTTGTCTGCAAAAAGCTACCAGGCACCTCCATGCTTCTGTCTACAAGTGTCCTCTGCAGCTGGAATGCCCACACCTGGTCTGCTTCCTCCTCTACCCAAACCACTCAGGTACCTCTTCCTCCAATCTGACCCCAAACCACCTTCCACATGTCTGTCCAGGGTTCCTAACTCCATTTTGCTTCCATAAAAAATTGTGTTTCCCAAAAGGCTAAAAATAGAGCTTCCATATGACCCAGCAATCCCACTCCTAGATATCTATCCAAAGGACCAAAAACAGTGATTCAAAAGGACACCTGCACCCCCATGTTTGTTGCTGCTCTATTTACACTAGAGAAAATGTGGAATCAACCCAAATGTCTAAAAACAAACCACTGGATTAAAAAGATGTGGTACATATACACAATGGAATATTACTCAGCAATCAAGAACTATAAACTCATGTCTTTTGCAGCAACATGGATGGAGCTGGAAGGAATCATGCTTAGTGAAATAAGCCAGAAAGAAAAAGAAAACTACCAGATGGCTTCACGCATAGCAGGAGCCTAAGGGATCAGGGAAGAAAAAAAAAAAAGCAAGCGAGAGAGAGACATACACAGGTAGTACAGTAAAAATGAAAACAATGAACAACTATAAACCAGAGACATTTTATGGGGGTGGGAGGGAAAATAGGATCAGAACTGGGGTGGGAAGAATGCACTGGACTGTGGTGATGGCACACAGGTGAATTTGGTGGTGGGAAGCCCATGGGGACAACTGAGATGAAGAAATGCACAAAATGAAGAATGATATTAAAAAATATATGTTTTTTTAAAAATTGTGTTTCCTCTAACACAGGACTTAGCGCCTTGCGGTAACCTTTCTGAAAGACTATCTTCCCCCACACACACACTAGAATGGGATCTCCTAATAGAGAAAAAGTATGTATCACTGCAGCTCCAAACCTAGCACATGAGTGAATGCTGAATAAACTGACAGTAGGTACAAGAAGGTACTGTCTAAGACCCAGGTACTGCTTTATTCACCAGGAAAACTCACTGGGTTTGGAAGAATAGAAACATTCAATAATAGTTTACTTGAATAATCTAGTCTGTGACCTGGCAAGATGAGAAGCAAAAGTAGCAGGTACTTAATAAAGGTCGATGCCTTTCCAGCCTCCTGGCTTTGCCCTAAGCCATATAGTTTAGGTTACCATATAAGATGGACATTTTATTCAGCTGAGATCTCCAGGGACTCTCATTTTGAAAGAGTGAGGAACCTAACCAAGTTATCCATCAGACAGACACTCATTCTCACTACTATATGACTCATTGCAAAGCGGAAATAAATTTGTTCACCAAACTAGTTTTGTTGCCCGGAAATCAAAAACCATCAATGCTTGTTCCTTACCTTGCTTGGTAATTTGAAAAGTCTTCTTACTGCAAAGGACAACAGCCTGAAGCATCTCATGGGGAGAGACATGTGCCTTGAAATTCCGAGGGTTCCAGAGCTTTCTCATAAGTTCTCCAAAACGCTGTACCAGCAAGAACATGATATCCCCTGGAGGACGCTTGATGTTCTTGTAATTGTCCTCTTCCAGGAAGTAGTTCCGGAGAGGAGGAACATTAGACAGAGCCTGGAAGTCAAACTGTCTGATTAATCCAAAGCTCCTTTGGAAGGTCTCTGGGAGCCAAGTTCTTCCAACTGAGGTTCTCACAGAACTGTGGTCTGTGTTGGCATGCAAAAGTCAGAAGTAAACATTTCTGGAGAACCCCACCTAGGCCACAGTGCAGAAACATCCCTCATAATTAAGACCAGTTCTGCAGTTACTTTGCTGATATGGATATGGCAATGGAATTTATAAAAAAAGGCATGCAAATCCCTACCCACTAACAAACTCATTTAACAAGTTCCTCTGTTGGCTCTATTTAGGACTAGGATTAGATTTGGGTTCATAAAGAAATAAAAGCTAGAAACCCAATATTCTTTTTTCATCAGCTATTTGGCTGGGGCACAGATAGTTTCTGCAGACCCTAATTCCCCCATCTATCAGTGGAACATTAAATAATACGAAACTTATCTTAATAGAAGTTGTGTTTTCCCCAAATGTGGTATGGAGCTATGGCAATAAAACCACACTTCTCTTATAAAAATGAATGTACTGGACTACAAAACCAGGAGGGGAACCACAGAACAGATCATAGCAAAATGCACAATCATCCAGAAGTCCTTCCTAACCAGTTCCTGAATCCTCACCAGCACTGTGCTATGGGCACAGCTTTCTCTAGTAAGGTAATCCATTTAATAAAAAAGGACAGAAGTGCAGCCTCCCTGGTGGTACAGAGGGTAAAGACAGCACTATCAAGCTATCACCAGCTACTACAGCACCATCCCCAGCCAGCGAGCTGACCCACATGACACAGCAAACCGTTGCTCCTGTCTCACCCACTGCTCCCCTCAGCAGTGTATTTCAGTCAGTTTGCCTGTTCTGCTCCCCACTCTGGTGAATCCTCTCACACCTCCCCACACAGCTTTGGTCTACAACCCCAGTTCTTGTATGCATAAATAAATAAATCTTTTTTTAAAAAAAAAGTATCTGTACTGGATTAAAAAGATGTGGTACATATACACAATGGAATATTACTCAGCAACCAAAAAAAAGAAACACATGCCTTTTGTAGCAACATGGATGGAGCTAGAAAAGATCATGCTTAGTGAAATAAGCCAAAAAGAAAAGGAAAAATACCAGATGGTTTCTCTCATAGCAGGAATATAACGGAACAGGCAAGAAAATAATGACAATGATGAACAGCTATATAACAGAGACATTTTTGTGGGGGTGGAGTGGGGAATGGGATCAAAAACAGTGGAGGGAGGGAAATGCACTGGATTATGGTGATGGCACATGGGTGATTTGGCGATGGGAAACCCAAGGGGATTGCAACTGAGATGGAAAAATGCACAAAAATATGTAAAAATAAACTAGTATAAGATTAAAAAAAAAAGTGTCTATGAAATACAATGAAACCAGGCATCTCTGGGGAAGGCAACTCAGAACCATGACACTGATTAGGAAAGCCCCCTACAAGCTTAGTTCAGCTAAAGAAACAACCCCTTTTTAGAAAACAACTGCCTTGGAAAAAAAGTTACCCTAGGGCTCTCCCTGGTGGCGTAATGGATTAAAGCACAACACAATGAAGCTACCGCAGCCACTACAACACAAATTCAATCCATCCACAGAGCTGACCCATATGGTGCAGACCTTTCCTTACCTCCCTGCTGCTCCCCTCAGCAGTGTATTTCAGTACATCTGCCTGTTCTGCCCCCTACTCTGTCTCTGGTGAATCCTCACACACACACACCCCCCCCACACACACACCTCTGGTAGGTATCCCAGTTCTGTATGCATAAACAAATAAATAAGTTACCCCAAAAGGAAAAATTATGGAAATTTTATCCTACTTCTCGTAATCTATGTGTAGAGAGAGGGTGCTCTCTCTGGCTTCAACAAAACCACAACAGTAGAAAGAAATTATTAGGTCTCCAGATGGAACATTCAATCCTTTTTAGTGGAAGCATTATCACAGAGGGTTTGCTCATTGGCTTATTTTTATAAACAAACTTCTTATGGAAACCCATCATTACACTAAGATTAACTGCTCTGACCAATTTCAAGGGCTAGATGTCCTATCTGTAATAGTCGTAATGAAGTTGTAAGATGCTGCACAAAGATCTGCCACATCTCTGTCAACCTAAGAATTAAGACTTTGACCCTTCCAGGGACTAGGCACTGACACCAAAGCCAGACACCAAAACTAACAGATAAACCTTTACAACTGTTTTACCTAATTCTTTATTCAAAAATATATTAAAAGGCCCTCCTGCCTGGTGCACCCCTCAGCAGTGTACTTCAGTACATCTGCCTGTTCTGCTCCCCACTATTTCTGGAGAATCCTCTCACCCACCACACTCTGGCTTGTACCCCAGCTCTGTGTGCATAAATAAATAAAATCTTTTTTAAAAATGTATTAAAGACCAAATTAGGAGGAGGAATTATCTCCAACATATGCAACAAAAAAGGTTAATACTTACTTCTTAAAGCTCAGTAAAATTAATCACCAATAGAAAAATGAACACAAAAGACCCAGTTATACATGAAGAAATCTAAGTAGTCAACTTTAGAAGTGTATTTAAAAAGTTAAAACATAATACTATCAAAAGAAAATTTTTTCAATGGTAACAGTGACAATGCAAAATGAGAAACACTTGTATAGAGCTGGTGAGTTTATAAGTTGCTATTAACACCCTACAGCCCAGAACCTAGGCTCTAGATGCATAAATAATAAGTATTTATATTTATTATTTTCTAAAATTTTTTTTGTGTGAAGCAAAACTGTTTATTTTTTTGCCCCCCGCCCCACCATTCCCACCTTGTCCTACCTGAAGGACAGCATTGTAATTCATCAACAAAATGGATTAATACATAATCATTAACATGCTGCAAATGTATTGATTTCATTATGTAATTTTAAGTAAAAATGTAGATACACATATATACCGTTACTCTGTAAACAAAAAATTATAATAGGTACTTTAAAAGTCACGATGTGTGTGTGTATAATACATACAATTCTATACAGGCAGTGTATATATTCATGTGTTTTACGCACAATAAGCGGTGGCACACCATCACAGAAAGTATAAGATTGTATGTAGGATACTCAAAGCCAACACTGGTAAGAGGGATTAGAAAAAGACAAGTTAAATTTGACCTTCCAACTGGAAAATAGCAAAGTAACTCACTATATTGCCGTAAGACAGAAGGTGTTTGTGAGTACATGTTTTAGAAAAAAGTCTGGAGGTCTATATGCCTATAACTACCCCAGGACAAAGTATTAGGAAAAAAGGGAAGTTTTCACTCAACATCTCTTCCTCTTAGTAAGTATTTATAATTATTATTTTCTAAAATTATTTTTTTTGTGTGAAGCAAAACTGTGCATTTTTTTGCCCCCCGCCCCACCATCCCCACCTTGTCCTACCTGAAGGACAGCATTGGCGTAGTCATTGGCCTTTATGTTATTCAGGCCCACAATGCCAGGCAGGTAAGTGGTGCCATCATAAGCCCTGGACAATTTGGCTTGTTTATCCAAGTTTGCAATCTGCTGCTTGGTGAATGTGGGCTTCAACACATACTATAAAGCAAAAAAAAAAAAAAAAAATTCTAAGTTAACTTTAGGCACAACCACAGAGTTCACAAGATAAATATGCATATTATAATCCAATGTCCTACACCAGGTCCAATTTACATGCCTACTTCAAAGTGTGGATGGATAATTTACTTCAGAAAAATGCTTTAACCCTGATAAGGAAACAGCCATTATTTCTTGAACACACACCGTGATATCCTCGAGCGAGGAATCGATGATCTCATAGTTGTCTGGAAGGCAGTAAAACTTGAGTGTATGGAGGTTGAGGAAGACATGGTGGCTGAACTGGACACTGTGAATATAGGCATGAGACTTCAAACCCCGGCCTGTAGGGAAGAATAAAAGGCTGTAAAGGAAGGACAGATTCCAAAAAGGAACAAATCAAGTTTGATTTTCCTTTCACTATTTTGTACTTGAAAGTTAACAACAGCAAAAACAAAGTACAATGCCATCCATGATATGATGGGTCATAATCATCACAAAAGTTAGCAAGAATAACACAATGGTTACTTTATTCCCTAGATGGCATAAGACACAGGTCAGGAAAACTAATTGTATAAACATGAACGTGAGCCTTAACTATATGAAGGGTGTGCATTTAAACACATACATATATGCCTATGAGTTAGTTTCAGATATATCAGAAATTAGGAATCTCTAATTATATAGAATACATACAGGTACATGTATAATACATATGTGTGTACATATACACATACAAATCCTGTGACAGTCTAGCATCACTCGATTTCCAACTACCCACATTTAGAGAAATCTTGGGCCTATACTTTTGTTCATGATGCCACTCCTTTCAGAATGTCCCTCCCTTAACCCAGTAAAACTATTTCACCAGAGAGCCTCTCATAAACTCAATGCAAACACACAACTAACACTGATCTTTGAATAGCTTACCTCTTATTATGCTTACTTATATTGAGTACCAGAGTCAAGCTGCAACATTTACACCCTTACAGTTTGCTGATTGTTTTGTGTTAACTTTGACTGTAAGTTCCCTATGAAATCAAGGAACGTAGCTTATATTGTTCTGAATCCTCCACTATACTATACACATAGAATTTGCTAGCTTAAATGAACTGAAATAATAAATTTCCAGAAAAGAACAGAATTAAAGTCCTCATAGCAAAAGGATTTAGAAAAAGACAAAGAAGACATTAAGAGTATAGCTAAGTAGGACTTGCCTAGTGGCACAAGGGGTTAAGTCGCAGCACTATGAAGCTATCTGCAGCCACTGCAGCATGAGTTCTATCCCTGCCAGGGAGGTGATTCACATGGTGCAGCAGACCTCTCCTGTCTTGCCCGCTGCTTCCCTCAACAGTGTATTTCAGTACCTCTGCCTGTTCTGCTCTGTCTCTGGTGAATCCCCTCACCCTCTGCACCTCTGGCCTGTACCCCAGCTCTTGTATGCATAAAAAAATATTAAAAAAAAAAATCAGGAGGTGACCTGTGGTTAGTGCTGAAACTGCAAATTTGTAATGTGCAATATTTACTTACCTTGAAAGTACTTGCCACACACCAAACAGGCATATGCATTTATATGGGAGAGGGAGATGGAACACAGTTTCTCAAAGTCAAAGTCCAGCACACTCCTAAGAGGAGCAAAAGAAAAGAAAAAAAAAAAAATTAACAGGTATAATTTCTAGGAAACACCAGAGTAAAGTAGCCACATATGGCTATTGGCACTTATATTTAAGATAATTAAAATTTAATAAAATGTAAAATTCGGCCCTTCAAACCATATTTCAAATGCTCAACAGTCACAAGTGGTTATGCCACAATGAGCAGTGCTTACAAAGAATTGTAAAAAGTTCTTAGATAGCACTAGCCTAAAGGATATGGTGAAAATCATCTTAAGATGCTGTGTGGGGTCAAAGAAAAGAATACTAGTACAAGGTAACTACCTCTGTTTTAAAATACATTTCTGATTGCTTTTCTCTCTGCTGAATCCCAATAACCTAGAGTAATACCTAGCACACAGTGGATGTCCCAATAAATATTTAAATTTCCTATTAACAATTTTAAGTACACTGTATATCCCATTATTTCATCATACAAATTCAAAAGGAGCTAAAGGCTCTTTATGCTTGTGCCCCCCTAGAACAACAGGTTCTTATACTTTAAAGAGCACAGATTAATAAACATGGCAAGCATAATTTTTTCGGTTTGAAGTTTTTAAAAGCATAAAATAATCTCAACATGATGTTCAACACACAGCCCAAAAGACTGCAGACACAGCTTCTCTGTTCTTTCACTCCTTTGGCATCCTTGTCCTACTGACCTGTTAATGGTATCCAGGTATGGGCAGTGGCGACTCCTCCGGTCCTCGGAATCCACGCGGCCATTCTTTGCTAAAATGAAAACCATCACAAGCTATGAAAATGCCAAATCTGTGCTGAGGGTCAAATACCAGTTTGAACAAATAAACATCAAACTAGGAAAAACTAATCAGCATGAGCTCATATACAGGAAGCCTAAGCAACACTCATAAAAGCCCACTAATGGAACAAGCTGCAAATTGTGAGAACATACTTAAATACATTTAACAAAAAATTGTCTTTGCAGATTACAGAAATCCAATAAAGCAATTAAAAAAAAAAAAGACAACCCAACAGAAAATGAGGAATACAGACCCACAAACATGAGAAAAGATGCTCAACCCCATCAATAAGAAGAATATGCAAATTTATGTGCACAACAACAAACTTCATACATAGCAGAAAGGAAAAAAAGTCAGAAAATTTCAAGAGCTTGTGAACATGTGGAACAATGAGAACACTGCACGCAAGTCAACTATTACAACCTCTTAGAAAACAGTATGGCAAGATCAAAAACGAAGATATGCAGACCTTTGATTCAGCAATCTCTTAACTTACATAACACTAGAGAAAGTTCTGCACACACTATTTATGGCAATAATGTTCAAAAGAGTGAAAACTGGAAATATATAATGTCCATCACAAATAAAATGGAGAAGTGTTTCAGGGTATGTGCAATGGAACACTTTGAAAATTTTTAAAATGCTATTTTTTGGGCCCTCCTGGTAGCACAAGGTGTTCAGTTTCAGCACTATCAAGCTATCACCGGCCACTGCAGCACAAGTTCAATCCCTAGCCAGGGAGCTAACCCACATGGCACACCAGGCCTCTCCTATCTCACCTACTACTCCCCTCAGCAGTGTATTTCAGTAGATCTATCTCTTCTGCTCCCTACTTTGTCTCTGTTGAGTCCTCTTGCCCCAGCACCTCAAGCCTACCCCTAGTTCTTGTATGCATAAATAAAAATAAATCTTTTTAAAAATGCTCTTTCAGCAAAAAAAGTCAATAAAATCATATACAGATAATCAGGACCAAATGCAAAATTACAAAAGTTTGGAGAAGATAACCCCATCTCAACAAATTCTGCCCTTAGCAATTTAACCTAATGATTTGTTCGCTTACTACTTCAATAATTCCTACTAACTCACCAGAAATCAAGTATATAGGGACATGTTCAAGAAAGGAGAATTCCAAGTTCAGTGAAGAAAAATATGTAGTTAGTGTTAACATGAGAAGTTTTTTAAGCGGTGGAAACCTATGTAATTATTGGTAAGATATCAACAAGTTGAAAAGGAGAGCATACATAACGAAAAGGAAACCAAAGCTGGGTGAAGAGTCTCCATAAATTAAACCTGAAAGCATCCAAGCAGCAAAGGGTGCAGTCATGAGGTGGGGGCGTGGAAGAGGATGGAAGGTCACTTCCTTCTCTAGTCATTGTCAAAAGACCTATGAAAATTCGTGGGTTCCAGGATAACTTCCACTAATCAATGAGCTAGACACGCGAAACCTGCTCTCCCAAAGGGCACCAACTCAGTCTCAGTGACAGACTACACCGACTGCTACAACCCAGAATAACAGGCAGATGGTACAGCGCCCAGCAGTCAGTCTCTCAACTCTAAAAGGTCTAATCTCCAAAATCAGGGCTGGACTCATTCCCCAGATGTTTTGTGATAACTGCTGGGAGAACACGTATAAATAGCACAGTGCCTGGCCCGCTTCAGGCATTCGATAAAGAGAAGCTGCTGCTGTTACTGTTGATGCTTAAAACATCATAACAATTGTTACAATTAAAACTAGTACTGTGCTCATTAAAATTATGTGAGTAGGACGGCGGACTTTGACGGTGGAGCGAGTTTCTTCACCAGAATGGGAATGTGGGAAAGAAAAAAGACAAGTGGAGCCAGCGCCCGGCCCATCCTGACCCCGCGCACCTCGCACCTCCCGCTCAGGCTCAGAGTCCTCATCTGCCTCGCGCTCCCGCTTCACCCGCACCGAGGGGAGGACTGGCGCCGGGGCCTCGCGCGCGCTTGCCGGTTCGACCTCCCGTTTCACGCGCACCGGGCTGCTCCGGGAGCTCGGTGCCTCTGTCTCCCGTTCCCGGTCTCGCTCCCGCTTGACGCGACCCGAGCTGCCCCGCGACTCGGACTCGCGCTTTCCGCGGGTAGAACCACGAGACTCCCGCTTAGACCGGCCAGACATCGCCACTACCGGCCGAGTATTTCTGCGCAGGCGCCAGCCACGCTTAAGCGCGCGGCCCGCAGCCAATCAGAAACGGGGCTATTATGACGGCAAAGGCGCTCTACCGGTCGCCGATTGGGACAAACTACGTACAGGAAATTTTTGCGAGTTATTTCCCTTCTCTTGGTTTCTTTACTATTGCATACGCACTGAGAATGATTTGGGAGCTTACTGCCCCCTTATGCACCATTTCCATTTTTAAAGAAACAGGGTCTTTTTGCTAGCTAATGAGTTTCTGCATAAAAGAAGCTATTGTGGGTAACTTTTACCCCCAAACTAAATTTGAAGAGCGTCTGTACATTCTCCATACCTCGGAAACTGACACCACTGCACCGAACTAGGCGAAGTCCCCATTCATCTCCTTCATGTAGCAACCTGAAGGCGCAACCCCACATTTAGAGGGTGTTCTTGGTTACACTGGAAAACGCAAACGTTGGGCAGAGGAGGACTTACCAAAAAGCAAATGAAGCACAAGCCTCTGGCCCTGTGCTTTCCATGACCCTTCTCCACACCTGAACCCGTTGCGTTGGCTTTATAGTTCTGCTAAAGTATTTTATAATTAACACACAATAAATTGCTGTTTATAATGTGCAATTCACTAAATTGATGGGTGGATACACCATGAAAACATCACCGTGATCCAGGTAGTGAACCTATCACCAGCCCCAAAACTGTCATCCTACCTCCACCATTGATAGACTTTCTATCACTTCAAATTAGTTCCCATTTTTTAGTTTTATAAAAAAAAGGAGATGCACATAGTGTCCTCTCTTTTTTGTCCTGGGCTCTTTCACTCAAAGTATTTCAGTATTGTCCTCATAGTCATTGAGTGTATCAACAGTTCGCTCGTTTTCACTGCTCATTCTACTGTGTTTGAATCACGGTCTGTCCCTATTCTAGTCACTGATAACTAATTGTGCTTTTTTTTTAAGATTTTATTTATTGATGCATACAGAACTGGGATACAGGCCAGAGGTGCAGGGCAGTGGGAGGATTCGCGATAGTCAAGAGTAGGAAGCAGAATAGGCAGATCAACGAAGTACACTGCTGAGGAGAGCAGTGGGCGAGACAGGAGAGGTCTGCCACGCCATGTGGATCACCTCTGGGGCTGGGGATCGAACCCGCACTGAAATGGCTGGGCCAGTTTGCAGTGCTGCGTCCTAACCCCTTGCGACACCAGGGCGGGCCTAATTATGCTTTTTTAAGAAGAGAACCCAAAAATGACACGAACCCAGACCTGTCAAATACTGGCCCTCCCGCGAATGCAGTTAAGACATCAAGCCAGAGGGCATCTGAGCAGACAGCGCGACGGCTCTGTTCTGCTGGACTCGGCCGAGTCCAGTCGTTCGCAGTGTAATATTCAGCCGGACACTTTGAGCCCGACCTGACTCTTCACAACTTAAGTCGACGCTTTCACAGTGTCCTCACAAGTGAGGCAAGTGAGGCACCGCAGCTCTGAATATTCGCTTGTGATTTCCTGAACGTGTTGATGTATTAGTAAGCTTAAGTCCATGTTTTTTTTGTTTGTTTGTTTGTTTGTTTTAAGTCCATGTTTTTTGCAGATAAGGGCATGCACGCGCGCACACACCTACAGGCACGCGGACGTCAGCCCCCGAAAGCGGAACTGCGACGGCTCCTCCACTTCCTTGCTCCGCCCCAGGAACTAAGTGTAGAGACGCGGGGCCGGTCCCGCCCCCGCCCTTACGGCGAATGACGTCAGGACGCGGGGCCGGAAGTCGAACTAGGGCCAGAACAGACCTCTCGGGCCTGGAGGGTGGCCGTTGGGGCCACTGACGCGGCGGCGGCTCTGCTTACTGGCTTCAGATGGCAGCGACACGGGATTCCGGGCCAGGGCTCTGCTGTAAGCCTGGCGGGCGGCTGGACATGAGCCACGGCTTCGTGCACCACATCCGACGGAACCAGCTGGCCCGGTACCGCCCCGCCCCGCGCCGCCGCCGCCACCCTGGGTCTGGTCTAGCCCGGCGGTCCCTCACTCCCGCTCGGCTCCCCGCAGGGACGACTACGACAAGAAGGTGAAGCAAGCGGCGAAGGAGAAAGTGAGGAGGCGGCACACACCGGCGCCGACGCGGCCCCGCAAGCCCGACCTGCAGGTGTACCTACCGCGACACCGAGGTGAGGCTTCCCGCCCCACCATCCTCCTCGAGCCGGCGCCTCCTTCCGGCATGGGCCTGCCTCAGCGTAACCCCTTTGTATGGAAAGAACCACTCTCTATCCCCCCAAGACTCAATTCATCTCATCCCTTCTTGGAACCTCCATCTCGGCGTTCCCCAACCTCCGCTCAGTGCTTCTCCCACACGACTGGGAGGGCTCATGCCCAGTGTAAACATCACTATTACAGGACATGTCTGAGGGCCGGCAAGAAGCTGTTGGTGTGCTCCACCATTGTATTTTACATATTCTCACCATCAGCAGAGAGAAAACCTGGTATGGCTATAGGCACCCAGGACATAGTTGTGGATTGAAGCCCAAGCTTTCCTTCGGCCTAGAGATCACAGTAGATAATATATGATGCTAAATAGGTTGACCGTTAAAGTGCTTTTAGTTTGTATATACATTAGTCATTATATACAAATTCACTCATAGATAGGAACTCTTATCTTTTCTGTTGCACAGTCAAGAAACAGGCTCAGAGACATTAAGCCATTTGCCCAAGATGGTATAGCTAGTAAGTCGTAGAACCTGAATCTGAACACAGGCAGAACTCTTTACCTCTCTCCACAACCTTCCACCACTATTAACTAGAAAAATGTGCATTGTGTACTTACTGTGTGCTGGGACTGTGCTAGCCTTGAAACAGGGCCACAGAGGTAAATAACACACTTAACACATAAACACATTCACAGGATGGATAAAAGTTTTGAGATTTCTTTACAGTATGTTTTCCTGTGTTATCTCTGTGGACAGAAACTCCAGTGGCCTTCTCCTCTTCCCTCTCACTCTGGTTCATCTTTCCAGATGGCTCTACTCACCCAAGCAACCCAGACTGTGAGGAGTCCGGTGAAAGCAGCTGTAGTGGCGGCTCCGAGCCAGAGCCTTCTGGCCATCAGCTCTTCTGCTTAGAATATGAGACAGACAGCGGAGAGGTCACATCAGTTATCGTGTATCAGGTATGCCTTACAGAAATAGCTGCAGCCTGAAGGTCCTGGCCATGGTAGAAACTTCTGCCAGATCTTGAGCCAATTTCTTCAGGGCAGGGCCAGTGGGAAGTGTCTGCTCCACGTGGGAGTATCGACGACTGGGCAACGTTTTTGAGCATAGCTCCCACCTGTCACAGTGATTCTCAGTGGGTAGTAGGGAGGGCATGTGGCCCCCAGTTGAAAATCACAGTTTCAGGGGACACCTGGGAAATGACAGTCACTGACTGTCAAGAAGCCATGAGTCAAATAGAGTTCTGTGAGAATATTGTTCAGGGACATGGCAGGTCACTTTCCAGAAAAGGCTGGTCCCTGAGCTTCCTGACTCTTCCTCCACGTAGGATGATGATCCAGGAAGGGTGAGTGAGGAGGTATCTGCACACACACCTCTGGATCCACCCATGCGAGAAGCCCTCAAGCTGCGTATCCGAGAGGAGATTGCAAAACGCCAGCGCAGACATTGACCAGACTGAAGTCATTCTCTCCAGGATGAATTCACTGCCCAGGGAGCTCAACTCCTTGTTTGGGGCTGCTAGGACCAGTCTGGATTGATCTTGAGACCCACCCCCAAGCTACCACATCCACAGAAATCAGGTGCTACAGAGGCTATGCCTGGCCACTTCCTGTGTACCAAGTCTTGTATGTTGGCCCATTTGACCTTCCTAATCTGGAATTTTTTGAAAATTTTGTTTGGCACCTTGGGGTTCTGGAAGCAGAGACTCCAGGAAAAGCCAAGGTACAAAAAGCCTTGTGCCAACTTGCTGGTTTTTAACTGAGCTCATATGCCGTGGGACACCTGGCCACTACTATGCCATCCTGCTCATAACATGTTTTTTTTTGTACTTCCTTTCTTGCTTCTCCTAACTTCCACCCATATTTTCCTAGGTCTCTTTATTTTTGCTTTTGTTTGCTTCATCTTTTTGTTTCAGAATCCATTCTGTCCTACCTTCTTACCTCCCAATATGACTTTGCACCTCCAGCTGCTTAGGACTTTGGAGGTGGGAGATTCTGGCAGTATACATGTCTCAAATTCTCCCAGTAATTTTGATACCAATAAAGTGGGAGATCTTCATTTTTGAGGCCTACTTCCAAGCCTGCATCTCCCTCCCCTTCCATAGATTTTGTAAGTTCCCCATGCTTTGCATTAAGGAGCCCTAACTAAACTGTAAGAAATTTCTTACAGCTAAACCTACCCTTTTTTAGGGCTACAGAATTCTAGCTTTTGACTTTATCCCTAGATGTGAACAGAGCAGCCTCTGCTCATGCTAAAGGGGAATTATCAAAACAAGATTGAAACTAATGCTCCAAGTATGTTTTATCTCAAATGTACATACAAAAGGAAAGTCAATGTTAGCAATAATTGCCTATTTGGAGTTCTAGTTTAAAAAAAAAAAAAAGTTTGAACAACACCCTAGAGGAAGTGATGAAATTAGGTTCTCTCATCAGCCACTCCCATGCCCCATGCTTTTTCCTTCTCCTTTCCTACCTCCCAAGAGCATATATAAAATTGATCCTTCAACTAAAGATCTCCAGGAATGTCTTTGTTTTTACCTAAGTGAATGTCCTAATGCAGGATTAGCCTAAGTCCACATGAAACGTCCACGTGACTTCCTGAAATTCCAAACCACTGCTTTGTTCCAGCAAATGGCCTAACCACAAGGACTTGTACCTATGAGGTTTGAGTGATCCTGTGAGCACTGAAACTTCTTGAAACCACAGTCCCCTGCCTCAGCAGTTTCTGTGTACCAGGGTCTCAAGATCAGTCTGGTTGAACCATCTCAGTAGCTTTATTATGCCCCCACCTGACAGAAATGGAGCAAGTAGGCTACTTAAACTACATCATGAAAATGCAGCAAGCTATAGCTTGCAGTGCCAGAAGAATGCCAGAAAAGTGAGTGAGGTGGATAAGGGCCTGATTGTGAAAGCAGGGACCAGAGTGCTCCTGCCCCACAGAACTGACCTGGGGCTAAATGTCTTAAACTTGCCAGTGCTCTGCTTAGTTCTGTTTTAAAAGCAGAAAACTGCTTTCTACATATTTAGCTGGACTAGAAGTGCCTTTTGACTCACAATGTTAACTACCCTGCTGAGACTTCTGGGTCAGGGTAGTGGTGCCATATTCCATCCCTAATCAGAGGACCAGACCTATTAGTCTTCCAGTTCTTCAGTTGATCTTCTAACTTGAACAAAGGATTTTACTGGAACTCTTAGATTTGCTAATCTGGAAATAATTTTTTGGGTCTGACTTCTCATAGCTGGCTGGCCTGTTTCCTGGATTTATTACAGAATTTAGAAAGGACCAGGAGAGGTAATCAGGGCATAGCACCTAGTCTTAGCCTCATTCCTGTTTTGTAAGAGGGAAGGCCTGTGTACTTATTGTGTCCTCATATGTATTTGTTATATAGTCTTCACACTCAGGTAAGAGACTGATGGGAACTCCTTGCTTGTAAACTTCTCCTTGAGGCACTTTGTTTAGCAAGTACATAAAAGATATTTCACCCAAGAAAGCATTCTAGTTTTTAGCTATTTTATGCAATATGATTATGTAAAGCACTGTCTGGTACTTAAATGAAAGGTTGTCCTTTAGAGCAGGCCTGTTAGTGATAAGACCGGGTGTAACTGCTTCGGTGTAACTAAAATGCTTCCCAAGTGATGACCTTCAACCGTCTGACAGAGCTCAGGCTCATTGCTATCCCTCATCTGGAGTCCAAGATGGTACTATCGGTGTATTCACCAGACTTGCCTCCACACATCTTTCAGTTGCTTTCAAATATTGGTGCTTTGCCATCAAGGAGCATGTTCCAGAGCATTTCCCACAGGCTCTAGAGATGTCCCAAAGAAGACAGTCTCACGCTGTTTGGTGCAGTGGCAATGGTGTTGGACTAGCTGGATCTTTCCAGCAAGCTAATTCAGAATCAACACTTATGACTGGACAGGATCATGGCTGCCTAAAAATGTCTGGTACCCTTATAGGCATATCTGATGCCCACCTAAAATAAAGTGTTCTTCACTTACTGAGGGTAAGACTTAGAATTTAAGGTTTTGTGTTTCCAGCTCTACAATGGGTGATACTAAAAATAGAAGGAAACTGAGGTTTGCAGAGGCTTTGGGCGATGCAAGAGTAAACACTTAATGCTTGAGTTGCAGCCAGTTGGCACACATGGAGGTCTTTGAAGAATATAATTTAAGAAGAGAAAAGAAGAATGTGAAACTTGCTGAATAAGAGTAGGAGCCTGTGAAGCCTGGCCAACCAATAGGACCAATGGGGGCAGTAACATGCTTCTTGTGGACAAGCCTCTGTAAGGGACATTCCATCTCCATAGTCCACTCTCAGGGCACTGCCAACTAGAGATTAGTCCATTGGACTGGAAGAAACTTTGTATACACAGCAGGGTACACAGTTGCTGTGCATTCAGTGCAGGATCTGTGGAAGGTGGGTAGTGGATCCCCAGCAGGTTCACAAATGTAAATGAAGCCATTGCGTTTAGAAAGACAATGGGGACAGATTACTTTGCTACCTCTGAGCCTTCTTTTGGGAGTATCACCATGGAATGTTCACAGTTATTTGAAACATTTTAAGCTGGCTTGAATTCCTGTCCCTGAAGAATCAGATGACCAAGAAGCCTTAGACATCCACCCAATTTCCCCCACTAGTTGGAGTGATATTAGAAGTGAAAAGTTTCAAAGTGAACGGCTCCACTGCCTTCTCAGAGTCACCAGAATGAGAGATTGGTTGTTCTGTTTATATTGTTATATTAAGTGTGCAAAAAGCCATACATTTTTCTGTTTTCTCATTTGCAATGTTTCTGTTATGTAGATGAATAAAGTGAAGTGTGCAGATTATATGTGCAGAAAACCTGTGAGGAAGGTATTTTTCAAATACAGTGTTCTTTTTAGCCAATAAACAAACTATTTTTACAGTACTGTTTTTGCAAAAAGTTGTGAAATCACTTGTGTACATAAGGGAGGTAAAGATTAAATGCCTGGCCCGAAGTCATTCAGCACCACAGAATCAGTACTTGAAATCTCATCTCTTGCCTTCTATTTTAAGAACTGTCCTGTTGGAGCATAAGTATAGTTATGCAGCATTAGAGCTGGATGGGACTTTTAAAGACATCTGGTTCTTCTTATCTGATATATAGCTCCTTTCTGCCCACCACCCATGAAGCATTCTTCCATCCTAGGGAGGTCTGTCTCCTGATAATTCTATTTTAAGGGATTATTCAGATTGTCATATTAAGTCCAAATCTGCTTCCTTGTTGCCACTCTAGAGTGGTGGTTCTATCCCTTCTTCTCCTCTACACCTCCCTATACCCCCACCACCCCCCTCACACATTTTATGTTAAGAGCCTAAGTAGTCACCTCAAACTTCAGGATACTGGTTGGACAGGAACTCCAACTGCCCAGAAGGATATAGTCGCAAGTGCTGACTCTCACAAGTGCACCAACTTATGCTGGGCTGCCTTTTAAATGCCAGCACACTTGGTATATGTAAAAGGAGTATTCTTTTAATCAAAAAAAGAATGTCTAGTAATGTCTGGTAATACTCTGGGCCTTAAATTTTGACTGAATTGGGGTAATTTATTCTCACTATGCTATTTCTTTTTCCCAATCTGCTGCCTTCTTGCTTATCCAAGCCCGGCAGTGTGTGTGTGTGTGTGTGTGTATTGTGCAAGCCCGGGCGCGCGTGTGTTTGTGTGTGTGTTGTGTAAGCCCGGCCGTGTGTGCCGTGTGTGTGTGTGTGTGTGTGTGTGCGCGCGCGCGCGCTTGGAATGTCTATCCATCTGGTTTCAGCAGCAATGTTTCTCAAGTGTACAGCGGTCGGGAAGTGGACACTGACTTCTGGACAGTACTCTGCGTACTTGTACCCTTGAAATTAAAAGGTATCTGATGAATAGCATAAACCAAATCCAGGGCGCTTGAATTTCTTAAAAGCAACAGTCAGGGTTTTTTTATGCTCGCTTCCCGCGGGACCCTCCTCGCCTTCAACTGAGGCAGGAACCCTGGCGCCACATTGAAGAAGGTTGCCCTAAGCATCGAGGGATCTTGGCTGCAAAATGCCCAGCGGCGGGGGGAGGCTCCCCCAGCCTAGCGCACCACGACTATCACAGGTGGAATTGAAAGGCTGTGCAGCCCCCAGAGCTTCCCGCCTCCCGAAGCTTCCACCGTAGAAACTGGGCCGACGAGATCATCCTTTGCGCATCTCAGTGTCAGCCGCAGCTAGAGTTCCCAGCCACAACCCCCAGCTCCAGTCCCCCGAAGTTGGGGAGCCGCCCACATTTCCACAGTGACGCCGGCGCAGGGACACGGGAGTTGTAGTCTCTGGCAAGATGCGGGCGCCGGGACCGGAGCAGCAAGGACTTCACATCCCGGCGGGCGCCGCGGCGCAGCCTGGGGCCAGGGGCGGGGCCGCCCGGCCCTTTAAACTTTTCTGGGCTGCTCCGAGGGCCGCAGCCGAAGACCGCGCCACGAGGGGCTGAGCGGGGCAAGGCGGCGGCGGGGCGCTTCTGGGAGGTGCGTATTGGGCCCCTTACCTGGGACCTCCAGAGATCACTTTGGGGCTGGAGGGGGAGTTCGGGTCCTGGGGGTCTCATGAGCCGTGGGCTCCAAGCCCAAGTCGGGGTTCCCGCGCGCACGCGAATAGAAAACGAGCTGAGCTTCCTGCGTGAACCCACTATTTTACCTGGACTCGGGTGGTCAAGTAATTGCCTGCTGCCCCACCGGGGCTCCGGACCCCTCCCTGCCTTTCCTTGGCACGATTGTCCTTACTCCAGCCCCTCTCCCAGCCTGGGTCCCGCAGGCGAGGGTGGTGGTTCCCTCTCCAGATTTATGGCCCCTATCACTCCTGGTGGTATTCTGGTGGAACGCGGAAGGCCCAGTGGGTGCCAGAGGGGAAAGGGGGTGTCTGCATTCCGGCGTGGAGTCAACACAACGTTTGAGCGCTCAGAACCCCAGCGGGAGCGCGAAATCTAGTGTCGACTACCAATTCTTTCCCCCTCTCCCACCCCCTCTTTAGTCAATCATTGGACTTTGGGCTTTGATCTGTCTCTCTCCACCAGGCCAGGGTAGCTGATGGTTTTGGAGAAATTTCTGAAGGCAGCCGGTCCTGCCCCCTCTCCCCTACCCATCTCTTGTCCTCTCCCCCACACCACCACCATCCTGGCTTCCCTCCCTCATGACCCCCTGGATCCTCCTTCCTGTCAGTCTGTCAGCCTTCTCCATCACTGGCCTATGGACTGTGTAAGTAAAAAGTGGGGAGGGTAAACAATGTGGGTACAAAATATTGGACCAACCCATCCAGTACCGGGCAGGAACTTGATGGTACACATAGAATCCCTTGTCCTGTTGCAGGATCCAGGTTGGAACCCAGGGTCACTCGGGCTGCCTCCAAAGCTCGGTGCCTGGACACACAGCCCTGTGGGACAAGCTGGCACCACTGCTCAGCAGCAGGGTAGCCCAGATGCATGCTTTTTCTAGTCAGGGTAACTTCCTGAGGTCCTCTAGTTGGGGGCCGTGCTGTGCTGTTCTTGTGTATCAGGCCTCAGAGCCAGCCCACATGAGTCCCCAGCAAGCACACTGACGCTGAATGGGATCAGAATCAAGAAAGAAGAAATCAGTGGGGAAGGCTAGGACTGGAGAGTTCTACAGGCAGAGTGACAGCTGTATTCCCATAGGTATGCCATGGCCGTGATGAACCGCCACGTGTGCCCCGTGGAGAACTGGTATGGTGCCCTCTGCAGACAGCCTCACTCTAAAGCTCCCTTCATCTCTGTTCTCTTGGGCCAGGGCTGCTGCAAGCCAGATGGAGACCCTGGGCCTCACTGCTCTTCTCTGACATTGGCAGCGCCTGCCCTTCCCCAGGCATGGCTTTGTGCCCATCTACCTGCTTCCACCATCCCTTCAGCCTTGGGCTTCTGCCTCAGGCAGGCCCTGGGAAGTGGGCTTCTCAGCCCTGGCCAAGGGAGGTTTGGGAGTGTAGTCTCAGAGAGGCCTGATCTATAGGCCAAGGGCTTTTCCCCAGTCTACTCTATATCCTGCCTCCCAGGTCCTACAATGAGTCCTGCTCTCCTGACCCCACTGAGCAAGGGGGCCCCAAGACATGCTGCACACTGGATGATGTACCCCTCATCAGGTGAGGTGCAGAAACTGAACACACTGGGGAGACCCAAGGTCCAGCTAGATTCCAAGCCTAGCCCCTCAAGGAGTAAAGGTCTATCCTTTGGCCCTGGGAATAATAATGTTAAGGGCATGTAATAACAATACTACTTGACAATTACTGTCTGCCCGGTACTGTGCTGGACACTATACATGCATGTCATTTAATCCTCCCAGAGTTGAGACAGCTATTATTTCACCATTTTATGGGCAAGGAATCTGAAGCACAGAAGTTATGTCATACGTCCAGGTCACCCAGGTAGTAACTGGAGGCACTGGATTTAAGTTTTAGCCCTCTTTATTACGAAGCCTCAGTCCTGATTCAAAGACGAGCAGTCTAAGGAGTCTCAGGGTCTGCCAAGCAGACCTGAGCACTCCCTTACCACCCACCATGTGAGCTCTGCTTTGGAGGGTAGAGTGACCCACACTTAGAGCCAATTATGTGTGAGCAACACTGGCCCTTCACATAAATCAGTGGCTCAAGTACTAAGGAATAGGCAGACAGCAAGCACGCAGGTTGGCCAGAATGGAGACCTCCTGGGACTTCTGCCTCTCACTCTGTCCTGGCTGCTCCTCTCCTCAGCAAGTGTGGCACATATCCCCCAGAGAGCTGCCTCTTCAGCCTCATCAGCAATGTGGGTGCCTTCATGGGTGAGTTGTGTTCTCAGCCCCCTTGCCATCCCACCACCCCACCGCCTCCCAGAAAAGCCCAGGAAGCCCTTGCCTAGCACAACCTGTCCCACCAAGACTGTGAGAGGGGCCCACTTCTCTTCCTTTAAGGCCAAAGGCAGACTCCCGCATAGCCACCCTGCTGGCCACTAAAGAAACTGTTTACTACCGATCTCTTCCCCTCCGGCCCTCAGAGCATCTGGGGAGGGGGGGCCCAGGAAGGCTACCAGAGTGGCCAGGAGGAAGACACTTGACCACGCCCATGCCCTCTTTCCCCAGTGGCTCTGATCTGCCTCCTACGCTACGGGCAGCTCCTAGAGCAGAGTCGTCACTCTTGGCTTAACACCACAACACTCATCACAGGTTGTACCAATACCGCAGGCCTCGTGGTGGTCGGAAACTTCCAGGTGCACTGCTTGCCCATCCTTTTGGGGAAGGGGGAGAGAGGGGAGTTGGGGGGGAAGTTGGAGGAAAGGGGGTAAATGTAAACACATTTTCCTTTCTATATAATCACTGAAATACCTTTTAGGCAAAAACTGGTTTGGCCACTTAGAAAGCTAGAATGGTCTTTAGAAATATGTTTGTGTCTTCAGGGTTCTTAAAAGAACATAAACAAAGTCCAGATTGGCCTGTACAGTTAAAGCAGTTGAATCTGTCTTTACTTGGTAGAGAAGAATACCTTCATCCTGGACAGTTGGTAGGGTGAATGCTTGGTCATTTTAAAATTCCTATGTGCTCACCTCCTAATAGCCTGTCTACAGAGGTCATCAGTCTCCTGAGGGTTGACCTGAGCTGCAGGGACAGCCCCTCAAGGCTGGGGAGAGGGGGAGGGGCTGGGAGGGAAAGGGAGGAAGTGGGACAGAGGTGGTGTGATGTGGGTGACCAGGCAGAGCTGCTTCACACTCAGCCCCTTTCTCTGGGCCTAGGTGGATCATGCCAAGTCTCTGCACTATATTGGAACTGGCGTGGCCTTCTCTGCCGGGCTGCTCTTTGTCTGCCTGCACTGTGCCCTCTCCTACCACGGGGCCACCACTCCACAGGACCTGGCTGTGGCCTCCCTGCGGATTGTGCTGGCAGTCATTGCCTCTGTCACGTTGGTCCTCAGTATCCTTTGGGACAGAGCAGCCGGGAACTCACCCTCTAGCCCAGCCCTTCTCCCACCCAGGAAGGGGGCGGTGGGGGGGGCACACGTTCCTGGGCAAGTAAGACTGCCCAGCATCCTTCAGGGCGATGAGCCCTGGTCCTTTGCTCCAGCCTAGCCGGCTATCTGGGAAGGCAGAGGGGCTTGCAGGCGCCCACATGTCCTATTGAACTTTTCCTTAGCCTCTTCCAGGTGGTGTCTTCTTCATCCACACGAGTCCTCAGCTGCAGCACGGGGCAGCCCTGTGCGAGTGGGTGTTTGTCATCGACATCCTTGTTTTCTACGGCACCTTCAGCTATGAGTTTGGGGCAGTCACCTCAGAGACACTGGTGGCAGCGCTGCAACCTGCCCATGGCCGAGCCTGCAAGTCTTCTGGAAACAGCAGCACCTCCACGCACCTCAACTGTGCCCCTGAGAGCATCGCCATGATCTGAGGTTGGGAGTGGGTAGCCTGCTCTGCCTCTAAAGCTCCCCACCCCTTATTTTCTTTGCATTTATTTTGTACCAAAACAACTTTGGGAAAGTATTCAGCTGGGATACAGACTTAAACACTTCCTCACTCCCGGAGGAGTGGCCATCCCACACCCACCCGTGCCATAGAGGAGCAGGCCTGGGCAGCTGCTGTGCGTGACCTGCTCCCCCTCACCAGTGTTATTTTTATGTTTAAAGGTCACCTATCCTCACTCACCCAGCCAGCCCTTCAGGTGCCTTCTACTCCCCAGTGCCTAGGCCAGACCACTGGGGTTTCCTGCTGCAGTCACGGGGGCCCGGGAATAGCATGAGATAGAGGGCAGGGTGACGGTTGGGCTGAGCACTCCCTTGTCTTCACGAAGCCCACTTTGGGCTCACTGCTGCACTGGGAGCTTACTTCCTCACCCTGCCCCTTACTTTCTTTTGGGCAAAAAACACAGCAGAATCACATGGGTATTTAGTACTTTTTTATATATCTATTAAAAGAATTCTAATTTGCACATTTGTATTATGTTCTGGAGAGTCTGAGAGGGCCTGATCCAGAATGATTTTCCCTAGGCAAAGAATGGGGGGAAGCTTCTGCCCCCCAGGGAGAGTCCTGGGTGTCTACTGCTCTTGAAACAAAATATGCTGGTGCTATCCAAATAACCCCAAGGGCGTGAAGCCTTCTCTGGGCCTCATACTGTCTAAAGAACAGACCTGGTCTGATCATTTCCCATTCCCTTTCCTTGTCAGTCTGTTCTGAACTTTGAATCTTAGAGAGGGGACCGTTAGGCTGGATGTACACAGCAACTTTAAAATGTTTGAAACAATTTTTGCAGTGCAGGTGAAGAGAATCCCTGGATTTCAAGGTTCACTAGAAATTTGCAGGACAAGGGCAACTGGAACTTTTAAGGACGATAAAAGTGTTTCTTTTATCAACTTTAAGTGCTACTAGATACCAAACTCTGACTCACTTTGCTTTCCAACCACTAATACAAAGGCCCAAACCCGGCTGGTTCAGTGGCCAGGTTGTTGGCCTGGGCTCCACCACCATCCTGATCCAGAGAAGCCAGCATGCTTGGCAGGGAGGGATAAACCAATACTGTCTGGGGCTCAGCACCGCCTTCTCCAACAGCAGTAGGAACCTAGTGGAGGATGCAGAGCCCCTACCCAGGTCTGTGATCAAGGCAGCTCAGGGTGGGCAAAGAAACATTTAATGAGCATTTAAGGTGCGAGAGGAAGGTGTTGTAGAGGACCGGCACACAACCCCAGCCACCTCATGTGTACATGGCTCCATGGAGGTTCTCGAGTCGATGCTTCTGCTGTAGCTTTCGAGCCTAAAGGAAAGAGGGCAAGTGCCATTCCCCAAGGCCTGTGATGGGACGGCTGTCATGAAGCCAGCGCTTAACTGTTTCAGGCCCTTGGCGTCTACTGCCAGAGCTCTTGCCCTCGCCAGTCACAGGGAAGGCAGCCGGAACCAGCACCCAAGAGATACCCAGGCCTGCTGAGGTGGGGAGTGAGAACAAGGACAGGCACTGAGGAAGCCCCATGACCCCTCCACTTAACCACCAGTTCCTACCTTATCTCGCCTGTGCTCCTCATAAGTATCATCATCAGTGGGCAGTTCATGGCGGCACAGGGGGCAGGAATTTGTCTGGGAAAAGCAGGGCAGTGTCTAGTCTGGGTCTGGTCTTCTTAAGCTACTATCCCTTCCCTACTCCCAACTTGCATCTCTTTTCTCCCTTCTCCATCAACAGAAAGAAGCTTGAGAACCAGGCCAGAGGCGGGGTGAGGGCAGGGGAAAAGGAAGCAGTACCTTGCTTAGCCAGGGTAGAATGCAGTTGGAATGGAAAAGGTGATGGCAAGGCATCTCAATGGCAGTCTCCTCCTCCTCAAATTCCAAAAGACACACGGGGCACTTGAGCTCTTTAGGAGGGAGTGCTGATCAGGAGTGCTATTACAGACCCCACCTCCCAGCTCCCACTCCTGGAAGCCACTCTTGCCCCAACCTGGAACAATGAGGGTCATACCACAGTCTGACTTGGGGAGGGGATGGGTCTGGCAGACTTGTACCAAACAGTAGCATTGCTGTTCTTACCAGCCTGAGAGCCCCTGATGATTGTCCTGGGGAGGTTCTCAACCACCGTCTTGGCAGCAGGTGGAGGCAGGTGGTGATCCCAATCTACTACCAACCCCAAGTCTTCAAAGTCCATCCTATTGAAAAGTGACCTGGGAAGAAGGACACAAGTTCAGGACCAAAGAAAACCCTACCTTTTTCCCCCTGCAATCCACTAAGCCTTAAGTGATAAGCACCTTGCCTGGCTACCCTTTATTAAATTCACTAGTTGAACAGCAAAGTGGGAATAAATGGTTTACAGCTGCTCACAAACAACTCCGGCACACAGGCTGTTTATTCCCATTTTACAAATGAGCAACAGGCTCAGAGAAGTTACTCAGGATAGCAGGTGTGACCTGGTAAGGCCAGATTCCAAGGGACAGTGTCGGCGGCGTCAGTGGACAGTGTTCCTAAGGAGTCGACCTGCTCACACCCACTCGGTCTCTTCCCCGCCTCCCAGGGCTCGCCTTCCACAACTAAAGTCAAATGCCCTCCCGGACCGTGAATCCTTTTTTTTTCTCCAGCTCCAGTCTCCCCAGAACCCCCTCGCCCGAGCCCCACCACGAACCATCCAAATCATCGACCTCCCCCCAAAATCGCCGCCCGGCTATTCATACGCCCTCCCCAGAATCCGCTGTTCCAGATAACCCGCCTTCTCCCGTCAGTCCCAAATCAAGAAACCCGCCGGCCAGGCCCCACCTCCCATCCCCGCGCACCCACCGTGCGAGCTCCAGCAGCATGTTGGTTCGGGTCTCCTGTTCGGAGCTCAACGGCTCACAGTCGTGTTCATCGAAATAGGACGCCATGGCTGCCCGGCAGTGTGACACAGTCCTCGGACCCGGACTGCGCCCTCCCGGCGTCGGCCAATTAACTGGCTAGCTGAGAGGGGACGACCAAGCAGCGCGGCCGAAGGGCGGACGCTCGGAGGCGTTTGGCACCGAAAGCGGAAGTACTCTTCCCGCCGCCTCTCATAGGCTCGCGTGAGTCAGGTGACCACAGGCTACAGCCAATGGTAGAGGCCGAGGCGGTCAGGAACTATTTGTTAAGGAGTCTGCCTGAGAGTGATTTGTGGATCTTAGTGAGGCCCTGGGAAGGGTAGCATCTGAGTTGTAGAGATCTCATCTTGCTCGGAGGCTCAAGGGACCTCTGTAATTCAAAAAGCTAAAAGCATCTGCAAGGATGCGCTGGCCCAGAGCCTCTGAGTCTAGAGGAAGAGCCTAGTTTGGGTTCTTCCTGCTGCTCTGGACGGGCCCCTGCCGGGCAATTCTGCACTCTGAGCTCTAATCGGTCCAGAAGTTTGCGCTTGATTTCCCTGGCCCTCATAAAACAAATAAACAAAAAATTCCTGCTTTTCTGTGTGAGGCACAATAATAAAGGAGAGGGTTAGCCTCTCCAACCGAGAATGGAAAGAATGGATTAATCCCCGTCATTAATCTGGAGCATTACCTGCAACGGTGTGACCTTTGACCCATTGCTCACCCTCTCCCTAGCTTCTGCACAACTGATGGCTTGACTTAAATAAGTGGTTGTACACCTGTCCACTTAGGGAGATTGCAACTTTAAGAAAAACAAAAACCAAAGTCAACCTCAAGGATTCTCATCTAAGCCTGGACGTGATATTTCTATAAATTCTACAAGTGAGTTTAATGTAAGATATTAAATTATTTGGATGATTTGGCATCTAGAACTATTGCATTATAAATAGTCCCCACAACTATCCTGTCTTTACAGATGTAAAACTTGAGTTCTGAAAATGACTTGCCTAAAGTCACATGACCCCTTCTTTACATCTGTACTGTACTCCAGAAAGATGTTTGTATAGAGTTGGATGGCACAGGGAAAGACATGGTCCCCACCCCATCCCCTGCCCAGGGCCAAATGCTTTTCTAGCTTTCCCAGAAAAGGAAGACAGTAATGAACACAGTGGAGGCACACACTCAGTGAGGGGAAAAGTGCCACACAATCAGTGTGTTTGTTCTTGTTTCCTGTCATTAGCCCTCATTCAACCTAACAAGGAACTGCTTCTGTTATACACTTGACCTTGAATCCCTCTTCCCACCCACACTTGAGGCAGAGGTTGCCCTGCTTCCATTCTTGGTTGGGCCTTCTTGCCTTCTTTCCTGAAATTTATTACGCAGTGAGCTTTGCTGGGCCTAAAGGCACTGCTTTTCAGCCCCTGTGGCCCTGGGCTCTGAAAGGCCTAAGCTCCACCCCTCCCTTTAACTCTGCATTATAGAACCACAGAAGCATTTCACTGCCACCCGCCTCATTTGCAATCTGGTATCATGCTTGAAGGAAAACAAGAAATTGGGTGGAGAAATTGAGGAAGAAGAGGTATTCAAAGCAGGTAAGTCTACCTGAAGGTGAAAGCCTCTGGGTAGAAAAATCTTGGAAGTGTTGTTCCCTTTGTCATCCCATCAGTCCTCTAAGCACCTCCAAGACCTCAAAAAAATAACAGACTCTTATCTTCAGGGAAAGAGACTCAGGGCCTGGTTTTGGGTTTGTTGTATCTTTACATCTGTATCGTACTCCAGAAAGATCTGTTTGTATAGAGTTGGATGGCACAGGGAAAGACATGGTCCCCACCCCATCCCCTGCCCAGGATAGAGTTGTTCAGGCAACAGCTTTCTAAGCAACCCAGGGGTAAAAGAGAGCAGGATGAAGCAACCTGCAGGGCTCTCTCTCTCTCTCTCTCTCATACACACACACACACACACACACACACACCAGCCTTTAACCAAACAGCAGCTTTTAACCAAACAGCAGCGTTTACTGAGTTCCAGGTAGGGTTGGCCTGGCATGGCCAGTGCAGTACAGTGGGCTGCCCTCAAGGGCAAGTCTGTGGTGTGATGGGATATGTAAAGGTGCACATGTCAAGGCTGCCCTCTGGCCCTCGCTGGGGTAGCTCAGATGGGATCAAACAGCCCTGGGAGACCAGAGCTGGCCAGTGCAGCCATTTAGCCTCTCTCAGGCCCAGCCATTTCAGTCTTAAGGCCCTGACGTAGCACTTGCGTCCTGGGCCAACGGGGCACTGTTGTCCTCGCTGCTCTGTGGGAGAAAGGTGGCCAGTAGCACAATCAGGATGACAAGCAGGCAACCGCCTATCACCAGTCCCAAGTAGATCCGGCAACGGATGTTCTCCCCACGCTTCTTCTGGGCCAGGGTCTTGGTTGTCTTGCTGAAGACTGTGCTCTGTGGATACCCCCAGACACAGGGTGGGAGTTAGTGGTCCCACTGAGAGGTTCAGAGCCAGCTCCTCCCAACATGGTCCCAACAGGGCCTGGTTTCCTCCCACATCCTCCCTGTCCTGTCCAGTCCTTTCGTGGAGCTACCCCGAGGCCCTCCCCATCTGCCTCTTGGTCTCAGACACTAGTGTAGCCCTTGACTTGTGGCCTGACCTGGCTCACCCCCCGTTAATAATCCCACTCCTCAATCTTTAGTAGGGTCCACATCTTCAGTGCAAGGACTTCTACTCCACAAAGTTCCCCCATTGCATAGCTAAGCTAGGAGATGCTTCGAGAAACCCAACAGTCCCACACTGACACTAGAGTGAGCCTCAAGTCACAGGGGCTGAGAGCCTTTGAGCATAGCCTGAGAGCTTCCCTGCGGATTGGTATTGACCCCTCCCTGCTTCCCCAGGCCTCACACCATGTCCAGGAGTTGGTCTGAACGCTGCTCCAGCTCTGACAGTTTTCCATCACGCTCCAGGACCTTGTCGAAGTTGTTCAGCATGATTTCCGTCACCTCTTCTGCCTGCCGCTGGCACCGCTCCAATTCTTTCCCTGCCTGGGCACAAAGCCCAAGGTCAGGGCTGCATGAAGCCCCCCACCTTGTCCTCATCTAGTCCAGAGACCTAGCAGCCTCCTCGCCCCCACTCGGCGTGCATGCGTGCGTGCAGTATATGAGTAAGGGAAATGGCATCTCCCCTGGGTGAGTATGACTCGCCTTTAGTCTCAACTTTCCTCCCCCTGCCCACCAAGGTAGGCCCAAGGCATTCCCGTGCTTCTAAGACCTCAGTTTCTGGTCAGTTGCCCCAGAGTGGGCCCTTTGTGGAGACCATCCTCCCACAAAGCTACTTGTTCTGCACATCTGCCCTGTGACTTCCCCTGGCAGAAGGCAGCAGCAAAGGGAATCTAGCTACTTGTTAGAAGTCAGACAGGAAGGAAATGCAACCCAAAGAGCTAGAAACATAATTCTACACCAGCCAGTGACATAATTTCTACCTAACCAAGGTTTCCCTTGCTCCCCCTCAACACACACACACACATACACCAGGTCTCCCTTGCTCCACATCCTTAGATCTCAGACCTCTGATTGGTCAGGCGAGTTCTACCTCTGGCCTGACCGGTTCCCCACATCAGTGCACAAAGCCAATCTCCTGTATGCCTAAGAATCGAATCTCAGCCTTCCTGGCTTCTGGTCTCCAGTCAGCCAGGATCTTCACTGGGCTCCAACTCAGAGACGAGACCTTGGATTTCCCAGCTTGGGTAGCCTCACCTGACAAAAGAACTCAGCTCATTCTGAGAACTGGGAAGGTAGGTGCAGTGTCCAAGCTGGGGTGGAGAGTATTGAGAACATAGGGAAGAGGGAAAAAAACATGGTCAAAAGAAAGAAAGGAACTGGGCTTTGCATGCAACTAAGAGAGACCCAAGGCAGGAGGCCCTGGTGAAACTAGAGGTGTAGGAGCAGGGCCAGGGACATGTCAGGGAGGTGAATACTAGCAGATTCATAAAACACAGAAACGCCTTCCTCCCAGCCCAGGCCCCCACAGCCCATCCCTATTCTTGTCTCCTTCCCACAGACCATCAGCCAAGCTCCCTTTCCTGCCAGCCCATGTTGCCCATTGTTTACAGCAGACATTTTGGCACTTGACTAAAGTCCACTTCACGCCAGAGAAAGGGAAGGGATCTGGTGGTCAGAGAAGGCCATCTCCTACTCAGACAAGAATCCGCCTTCAAGATCCTTGCAGCTGCCCTGCACATGACTTCCAAGCATTCCCTGCATATGAGTCTCATCTGCCTGGTTGGAACTTAGGGTCCCAGAGGAAGGGCAGAGGCCAGTTTTCTACCGTCACCTGCCATGACTGTGTGGGCCTGAGACGTCACTGTGGTGCTGACGTCTAGGAGGGTGGGTCAGGCCTAGGAGGGTGGATCAGTTACATTATAACTGACCCAAAAGCAACTCTTACACTCAAGAGATGTTATCCCAGGGTGTTTATCAGGCTGAACAGACCTTTAGAAAGGCAGGCATCTGAAACTGATATAGGTCAAAATTTACCCCTGAGCTAGTAAAGCAACCTGCTTCAAGAGGCGAGGCAAACCGCTATGGGGGGAGTAGTAAGTGGAGAAGGAGGAGACGTGAGAAGATAACAGGGAAGCCACACTCTTCTGTACTTTTTCCTTTTCCTACCATCATCACCGCTACTGTTGACACTATGTTATTCAACAAACCTCTATTATTTGCAGTCTCCAAAAAATAAAAGTTCAAGATACCCCCACACTTACAGTCCAAGGCAAAACCTTAGGAAAGGACAAAGATTCAAAAATGCAGATCACTGCAGAAGACTAATGGGCCACTGGATAAATGTTTGTTGTGCTCTGAATGCTACAGCTGTTGTTATCTCATTCTCCAACATGGGGGTGACTTGGGGTCACATTCTCCAGGAGAGCTGGCTGTGCCTCCAGCTGCAATCAGCAGGCTCTTTCCCCACTGCAGAGCCAGGACTGTCCAGAGCCAAAATGGGCCCAAGCCTAAAAGAACACACTAGCTCCAGGAAACCCAGAGGCCTCAGCCTCAGATCTTAAGCCCTCCTTTGTCCCACTCATACAAGGGGCAAAGGATGCTATGCACAGATCTCTGTGCATATAGGATGATGGGGTGTGCGTGTGGGGATCCAATCTCGGGGTGGAGCGGGGGCCATGCTGCCTCTGTCACAGTGACCTCAGCACAGTGCCTGCCTGGTAAATATTTTCTGAATGAACCGCACCTATTCTTAAGGAGATCTTTATCAACTGGAGAAAGACAGACATGATACAATTAGAAAACGGTAAAGACCTACACTGATATACCAACAGTGAGTGCAGGAGCCACCCACAGAGAGATGATTCCTGACAGTGGCTCAGCGAACAAGGTGGGAGAGCCCTGGAAGGAGGGGATACGACGGGAGCATTCCCGGTACAGAGAGACAGGGACACACTTGGGACTGTGCGGAGCCAGGCAGAGGCTCAGGATGGAAATGTAGGCAGGTGAGTCGGAGAAAGTAGTAAAAGTCACAAAGAGAAAGCTTACTTGGAAGAAGGGATAGAATAAGAGCTTGTGTGGGTTTCTGAGCCAAGGGCAACACTGGCGAGGTGCCTGGGGATCATTTCTCTATTGGCAATAAACCAGCGCGGCTGGACGTGAGAACACACAGGCCAGAGGCGGCCAGAGGGCTGGAGGAGTGCCATCTGCATGAGTGTGAGGCGATGCCCACCAGGCAAGGTGGGAGCAAAGAGTGTAGCAAGGAAGAAAGGGTGACAGGCGCTTCCGGGCCCTGCTGGGGCCTGCAAGACTTGAGGTTTGAGCCAGGGGGAAGGGAGCAGCAATGTCATTGGCACATTGAGGGTGACAGTTACGCAGGAAATGTTCTTGGTAGACCACTGCCTGCTTACAGAATATCCCTCCTTCGAAACTCAAATCTCCACTCAGGTTTTTCCAGGCCAAATACGTTTGGAAACAAAACTGTCAAAAACCTCCCTTTCCTAACAGCATTCCTGTCTCCCATTTCTCTTGTTTAAAGCTTGAGAAACCTTCTTCTGGCTGTCATCGTTGTCATCAGATGGACCTGAGCAGAGTCCAGGTATGTCAACTCCCTCTGGGTCCTTCACTCACCTGAGTGCAGAAACCAAAAGCACTGCAGCCCTGACTGTCACTCACCAGCTGAGTGACTGAAGACTGAGGACATGACCTTTCTGACCTTCCACTTCTTTAACTGTAAAGTGTTGACAATAAAAAACTACCCACCGTGTTAGCTAACTGTACGTGACCATATAAAGCACTCAGCACAATAACTGACCCATAATAAATGCTAAGAAACAATAGCTTCTGCTCCCTCCTCCCAGCTGCACAGAGCTATTTCAATCATGAATAAATCCTTCTGAGCTTCAAAAAAAAAAGAATAGTTCCTATTATTTTTGTAGCCGAAATTTCCCTAAGATTTTTTTAAGCAGTCAGATCCCAGTAACTAATAATCTTTGTCAATAAGCCCTCTTAGCTCTTTGTACAAAATATACAGCCATGAAAGCGCTTCCTTATTGCAAACATGTGCACTTCATTGTTTCTGACTTAATACAGAATTTCTCCCAACCTTTGCTAGCCCACAACCAGTAGAGGTTCCATATCTTGACAAAATAACTGGCACCTCTCAGGAGCACACACTCTGAGTTAAGCCTTATGCTGCTAGATGTTTGTTCACGCTATCTCCTTTAATCCTCATAACAATCCATTGAGGACAGTGCTATTATCCAAATGTTATAAGCAACTGAGGCTCAGACGGATTAAATCACCTGTCTAAGATCACAAGCCAGGGAGTTGATGATCTGGGAGGTTGAGCTCATGGAGACAGCAAGCATCACATTCTTAACCCCTGTCTAAACTGGATGCAACTGAAGAGGTCAAATGCTTGAGTTGGCTGACTAAAGACTCACCAGATCATTTGATTCGTGCTTTCAATTGAACTTGAGGCTCATGACTCGAAACACAAACTCTTTAGACAGTGAATGAAAGGACCATCTACAAGAATGAATTCAACTCATTACTCATGAATTCAACTCATAGCTCATTCAGTTTCCAGCTTTCCCATCTCTGCTTTGTTCCCACTCTATCCTCCATACCCATCACCACATCTGGCACAAAGGACAGGCTGAAGAAACAATGGTTGAATGAGCAAACAGAGAAAAGAAAACAAAGGAAGAAGGAGTAAACAGGGAGTAACAACAATCTGGGGACAGAGAAGGGAGCAGGAATGGAAGAAGAAACAGAGGGAAAGGGTTTAGGAGGTGCGTGGGAGAGGGGATCACTATACTCTCCCCAGGCTCTGATCCACTAGTTGCCTTAAATGAACCAGTGAGAGTCCTGGAGTTTTCCAGTAGCCCCCCCCCGCCCCCCCCCCAATAAAGTCTCCTGGCCTCAGCCTTTGCTTCAGGAGTTTCCTCTCCTTCCCAGGTGCTCATGGCCAGCCAGAAGCCCACTCAGCCATGCTCCCAAAGATGGGAGTAGGCTCCGGGCTAGGTCCGTTCTCAGCCTCCCTCGTTTCCTGATGTGGTCTTAGAGTTCAGGCTACCTTCCGCCCCACTTCCCCTTCCTGTCTCCAGTTCTCTGGAGATAAGCCATCACCGCATCCAGATCCCTAGTCACGCTTCATCCATCACACCTCTGCTTCCTGATGGGCACATCTTCCCAGGAACAGGGGGAGGGGGGGGCTAACTGGCACAGCAGCTCCCGACACCTTTGCTTTGGAGATGGCAAGTGAGGACAAAGACAGAGTCTGCAGCAGGAGTGGGGGAATGACTCAACTCACGAATATGTCCAGGGAGAGTTAAGAGGGAGCCACACAATGTCACAATATACCTTCAGTTGGACTTCTATAATAAACATCTTTCCTTTCTCCTTCTACAAGGAAAAGGAGTTTGCCCTGTAACACCCTGTTTTGAAGCTCCCCGCCTCTACTGCCCTATCTCCTCAGGTTTCCAAGTCCTAAGTCAGGCATGGCTCCTCGCAGTTCCAAGAGGTCATCACATTACCTACCATTTCTCAGGGGTAGGTTCTGAGTGCCATTGTATCTCCTTTAACCAGGCAAGGACCCAGCAGCCAAGCTGGCATTGTAGATCCCAATTCACAGAAGCGGAAAAGGAGGCTCAGGGAGATTAAGAGACTTGCCCAGGGTCACAGAGCCGCTAAGTGGCTGGAATCTCGGCCCGGGGCAACTCAGAAGCGGTACCACTTTGCTCTGGGGAAGAGGAAGTCCGAGACCCGCTCACCTTGACCTGGCGGCCTCGCGGGGTGCAATCGGCACTTTCCCTCCCGGTCCGCTCGCTGCTCCTGGCAGCGTCACCGCGCCCGGGACTGGAGCGCGCGGGCCGGGGGGTAGTGGGGGGGCCATCAGACTCCTGCCTCGCACCCCCAAGCTACTTCTCTGCTCACCGCCCAGCTGCCCCACGCCGCCCGGGAACCCTCACCATAGCGGCTGCCGTCGCCTCGCCCGCTCTGGCTCCTCTGCCGGTGGAGAGCGGCCGCGGCGCCAAAACCCGGGAGGAAGCGGAGGGGCGGGGCCGCCCCGGGGGCGGGGGGCGCGTCTGTCCCTGCGGTCTCCGAGACCCAGTCAAATCGAAAGCGGTCGGAGTCCGCGTGCCGAGACGGCCCGGGACCTTCTCACGGACCGCGGGCGTCGAGCTTCCCGGACCTCAAACATTTGGGGGTAAGCCTGCGCAACCTGGCGCCAAGTCTCACCCTGGCCGCACGCGATTATAAGCTGGGCACGGTAGAGTAGGCTCTGAAGCGCACTCGGGGAGTACTTTCTGGGACTGCCTCCCAGATCGCTAGATGGGGCTTAACTGCAGAGTCACTATTCTATTCATTCACTCAACAAGCATCTGTGTGAGTGCTATTTCTGACTTCGGACTAGGCTGAGCTACCGTGAACAGCAGCGGAGTGAGAAGAGATCACTGCCACCTTGGTGAGTGCATTTTACCCGTAACCAAATACAGACCCAGCAAAAAGTGTTATGAAACTAAAAAGAGGTGGTAGTTGGCAAAACATTGTGAATGCCCCACTGCACTACTGAATCATACATTTAAAAAAGGTCACTTGCATAGAGCATATCCCCTTAATTAAAAAGAAAATGGGGAGGGGGCTCCCCCATGGTTCAGAGATCAAAGTCGCTGAGATCAAAGAGCTGCTCATAGCAACCTGGCCAGGGAAGTGACCCACATGGCACAGCAGACCTCTCCTGTCCCACCCACTGCTCCCCTCAGCAGTGTATTTCAGTCAGTCCACCTGTTCTGCTTCTCACTCGTCTTTGGTGAATCCTCTCACCTCTGCACCTCTGGCCTAAGTTCTTGTATGCATGAATATACCTTTAAAAAAGAATGAAAATGGACCCCATGGAGGAGGTATCAGCTCTTGCCTGTCTGTATTTTCCTCTTCTCTTATCTACAAGTACAACCCTGCTCTGGTCTACCCCATAAAAGGGTGGGTGGGGCTAGTGTGCCTATCCCTCCAGCTTTACAGAGCTGCATTCACCAGAGCTGCACCTCACTCCTTGCCACCCCCAATGTCTCAACTGTGATCCCTCTTGAGGAAGGGGTTGAGGGTTTCCCTCCTTGTGACTTAGTCCCTGTGAGGACAGACACTATTCCCTCCCTGGTCAGAGAGGGTTCCCAGAAAAAGGTTTCATCTAACTTCTTTGGACTGGGAGTCTGGGAGGAGGCTGAGGAGAGAGAAGATGGCTAGGGTCTCTTCTGCGCTTTCCTCCTCCCTCCCCAGATTTCAGAACATGAATCCAGAATCTCACTCACCAGTACTAGTTCCAAATCCTGTCTCCCAACCAGCCCCTTTTTTTGCTCTCTCCCCCAAAATGCATTGTTTCCATTGTGGGCTACCTATGAAGGAAATAAGGACAGAAGTGGCAAAACCCTTCTCCCAACTGAGGCAGACTAGGCACTTGTTGGGAGTGACCAAGTGCGGAGATTTACTGAGGGACAGGATAAGGGCAGTAATAAATCAGGCCTTGCATCCAAAGGTGATAAGGTGGTAACAAACTGGGCCTTGCATCCAATTAACAGGGACCCTGCATCGGGGATGAGACTACTGAAGGTGATAACAAACTGGGCCCCACATCCAAGTTTGATAAGAAACTGGGCCTTACATCAAAGGACACAGCGATGAGTCACCCCTTTGGAATGTGAACTTAGAATCTATATAAGAGACCCTTCCCCCTTATTGAGTTGGCAGTAGCTGCGGACCCCACCCTAGGGGCTCCATCTCAGCTGCTGTGTCTCAGCTGCTGTCTGGGAGCAATAAACAAACTCTTCTTGCTCAGCCTTTCTGCCTCCCGCCTTCCTTTCTTGCGGCCAGTCATAGAAGTTGGGACAAAACAGCACTGGAAAGTGTGACAATGACAGTGGAACCTGCTGGGGAGGAGGGAGGCTCAGAGACAGAGAGGTCCATTGTACATGGAGGGAAAGGATGGCTTAAGGCCTTGTCCTGTGACAGTGACTATGCCCAGCCACGGACAGGGGGAGAGATGCTTGTCCCCTCATGAGAGCTGAGACTCAGAGCACTGCTAAGTTCCAGAAGACTAAGTTCCAGCAGACAAAAGACAAGTAGAACTTGTGGAACCACAAGAGAAGGAAAAGCAGTCCAATTCTTCCAAACACCACCCTACCCCCACTCTAGATTGCTATGGGGTCACAGAAAAGACACAAAGCTGAGGTCCTTAACCAGATTCCTTGATACTCTGGCCAGGTCAGCTTCATGTCTTGGCTAACAGGGCTGAGCAGAAGAGTAATACAGGACTGTGGCAAGACCCAAGGGGGACACCTAAGAGTCTTACATTTCCTCCTAAAATGCTGCCCACTGGGTCTCCCTCATGGCTCAGGGGTTAAGTCTCAGCACTCTGATACTAGTGCTGTGATTCCCAGCTGCCGTGGCCTGAGTTGAATCATGCTGCAGCAGAACTCTCCTGTCTGGCCTGCTGCTCCCCTCAGCATTGTCTTTCAGTGGATCTGCCTGTTCTGCTCCCCACTGTGTCTCTGGTGAGTCCTCTCACTCCTGCCCCGTACCTCTGGCCTACACCCCAGTTCTTATATGCATAAATAAATATTTAAAATAAAATAAACTGTTGCCAAACTTCTGAGTTTTCCTCACATCAGGATTCTGAGAAAATTCTTGATCTTGAGACTGTGACTAAGAATGGAACAAAAAGGAGGAATAAAGTCGGGGAGTCTCCATATTTCTTCTCCAAACCTGGGCTCTCCAACAACGTGGGTCTCAAATGGGGGCAGCTCAGAGAGAAGATGTCCTCGGGAGTAAAGAAATAGGCTAAAGGCAAGATGGAAAGGGAGAAAGTACTCACACGTGTAGGGATACTAAAAGATCTTTATTGCCCACCAGCCATCAATAGTTTCCCAGTCACATGCTGGGCCCTCTGGGTCTCTCCAACCAACTCCGAAGACCCATGAAGCATTGCCACAGTCCGGCTCTCTCCTTCTGGGGGATCAAAGTGCTCTCTGGGGCAGGCAGTGTGGCAGGGGGGTCTCAGAGTGTGAGGCAGGAGGGTCAAGCAGCATTCCCATGGAGAAGGACAGGACAGGGGGCCCCTCTTGGCCCCCACATGGAGCTGGAGCATTGCCCCCAAGAGAATGGCACAGTGGGAGGGGCTCCCTAAGTTACTTAGTGGATGGTACCAGTGGCAAAGAGCACAATGAAGAGGACGACGATAAAAACGATCACACAGATGAGGACAATCATCTTCACATTCTTCCACCAGAATTTCCGAGCCACCTTCTGCGACGTGGTCTTGAAGTGCTCAGACTGTTGGGGATAAGTTAGAGTGACTCAGTGTTCCCTCCGGCTGGTACAAGAGTACAAACAAGCCCCCATGTCATATGTTTCAATCATTAAAATGGTTTGACCTCCTACCTTGACCAATATACCTTCTGAACAATTTGATGGGCCAAGTTCAAAATTAGAATTCTTGGGTTCTTGGGAGCACTCCACCTGAATGTGGACAGACGCTGGGGCCTCGGCCTGCCCCTCACTACCTCCCCAGGCACTGTCACGTGCTTTGTGTGTGTGTGGAGGGGTCTTCTATACACGCTCACATCTAAGGTGTGATGCCAGCGGCACAACCTGCCCTTGAAAGGGCAGCATTGGGGCCACGGGGTACAGGTGGGCACATTTTCCTGGCTCCATGGCTCCTTGCAGTCCCCGTGGGGACTACTGAGGTTGGAGGCAGGACCCGGCGGCTGTGGAAGTGGAGGTGAGGGAAACTGCTCTTCCTCTTACAACTCAAGTTATAGGAATTGCCTCCCAGGTTAGGCGGTGGATAAAAAACACTAAGGGCCAGGGAGACAAAGGAGGTAGGTCCATGACACGGCACAGGACCAGAAAGCCACAGGCAGTCTCTCTCCATGGCACGTGGAGCCTTAGGCTTAGTTTTTGTTGATCTTAATAGAGTTGCAGCTGGCTCAGTTCCTGCCTGCAGAGAGAAAATAGGTTCTGGCAAGATGTGTGGGAGATATTATTCTAGCCTTTAGCTAGCAGAGGACCCTAGGATCAAAGACATTCACTGCTCTTCTCAGCTTCCTTTTAAAGCCGACTCAGCAAGTCTCTAGCAATTTTCCATCCCCTGCCTAATAACTACTAGAGAAGATTTGAGGAGGATTTTTCTCAGAGCCCATATTTTTGCTCTGGGGAGGTCAGGTTCAAATGATTAAGGGCAGCTTTCAAAGGGAAAAAATCAGTTGTGTGGAAGAGAACCTGCAAGAATGCCTAGAGTGAATGAGCCATCTGTCCGTCTCAGAAAATGCTTCCATGGGTCAGCTCCCAGCCCCTAGCCCCAGGTACTGGACCCAACCCCTGGGCTCCAGAACCAGTCGTGGAGCAGAGCAGCGTCAGCAGTGGGACTCAGCTCACACCAATTCCCTGAACAGGTGAAGAGACGTAGAAATGACCCACCTCCTGTTCATTCTGTCCCCACCACTACTGCACTCCAAGCCCAAACAACCTTCCCTCCTACTCTCCCTCTAGCTCCTGGTTTCCCCATCTCACTGTGGCCTCCAGATCCTCTGTCTTGTTGCGGAGATGATCCAGGTTTTCTCCTCTGGCCAGGATCCGCTCCACATTCTGGGTCATAATATTCTTGACTCCTTCCACCTCGCTCTGCAGGTTTCGCACACGGTCATTTCCTCCACCTCCACTGGCCTCCTCCTGGGCAGCAATGCAAGGGGTTAATTAGACCAGTATTTGAAGAACCCAGACACTCAGCCTCATAGCCTCAAAGGAGAGGAAGGCCCAAGGTGAACTTTAGCTTTTTGTAATGCTTGAATGTTTACAACAGAATGTCTTCATGTATTACTCATGTAATAAAAAATAAATGCATTGTTAAGCCTCAGAAGGTGAGAGCTGACACTAAACAGGCCAGATCAAACTTCCTTCTGGCTTCTCAGGGCTCCTGATGAGGGGGAAAAGTCCCCCTCTAAGTCACTCTCCTGTCCCTTTGCTTCTCAGGGAGGGTGGGAGAAGACAGCCCAGCTGGCATTCACATCACAGAACTCCACTGTATTTCTAACTCCAAGAGCCAGCTGGGCTTGCCTGACCCACAGGGTCCTCATTAAAAGTGTCTGTGCTTGTCAGCAGAACACGCTCACCTCTGGCCCAGAGGGGCTAAGTTGCTGTAACCCAACAGCAATCAGGCTCCAAAACCCCCACCAGGCCCCAGGGGAGAGAGCCAAGTCACTGGGCCACAAACTTCTGCTTTCCCCACCACTTTAGCACCATGTACAGGCATCAAGCCGCAGCCTGCTTATGAAGATATTAAATAAAAACAGCAGCCTGGGCGTTGGGGGAAGTGGAGGAGAAGTCCTCCCAGGCTGATGCCTCATCCCCAGGCCTCTAGATAAGGTTTTTGAATAGCGAGGGAAAAACATTGTCAAACTCCTCCCCCATTGGGCCTCCAGAAACAGGCCAGAGGTGTGTGGAAACTAGTTTATGAGGGAGAACCAACTTGTTCTTTTTACAGACCCTTAGCTCTCTTCCTCATGTTCATGGAGAGGAAGTGGACTCCTCCAGCTCGGTGGAGAGGCAAATCGTTTGGGCTTCCGTAGGAGCAAATGCCGAGCAGTCCTTGCCTGGAATCAGCGCTGGGAACAGCAGAGGCGCTGCCCAGGAATGTCACAACACCTCCGGGCTGGAGGAGGAGAAGGGCGGCTCACAGTTCTCCGCCAGGAATTCAGATCCCCCACCTCTACGGAAGCCTAGCTCGGGGCCAGCACAGAGGTCAGCGGAGGGAGCACGCACAGAGGAAGGCAGGCACAGCGGCTCCGGACAGCTCACTGCTATTTGCAGCCAAGTTGTCAAAGAAGAGAGCCCAAAGTAAGCGCCGCGCCGCCCCGCCGTCTAACTTTGCCCTTTGACGTTTCTTTTCCTGAAACCCCTCGGGCTCCGCTAGAGGGGCCCCTTCGTAGTTCCCTGTGCACTCCCCAGGTCGGGGCCCTGGTCAGAGCGGCCCCTCCCTAGTTCCGAGTTCGCTCACCATGTCTCCCTCCGAGCGGCCGGGACCTGTCAGCAGCCGAACTCGCCCAGTCTGTTTCCTCCCGGGCGGCCCACGACTCACTTCCTGCTTGCTCCCAGTTTCAGCCCGCCCTCCGCCCACCTCGCTTCCCAGCGCGGCCACACCTCACGCAGGTTCTCCCAGGTAGGCTGGCACCCTCCACTGCCCTCCAGTCTCCTCCCAGACGAGAGTTCAGACTTAAAGCCACAGGCTGCTGGGCACTGAAAGTCTCCTAATGCCTCAGGAAGGAAGAGACTGGCCCTCTGCTGTGCAAAGCTCAGCCCTATTGGGCTCTGAATATCTGACTCTAATTTCTAGGGAGTAAAGTCAACCTGAAGCACCCTGCAGAGCTAGTTCACATAGAAATGGGACACAGATAAGAACTTTTCTTGTTGGACAGCCCTTGTTTATCTGTCAATGAGTGGGCAGAAAGCACCAAACCCCCAGTGTCTGGAATGCTATAATCCTGGACGCTGGTGTCAGAAAACTCTGGGTTAGGTAAAGAATAAAAGGATAGCAAAGGCAATGGATAAAAGATAGCACAGGCAATGGATAAAAGATAGCACAGGCAAGGTGTAAAAGGACAGCATGCACAGTGCTGGGAGCCAAGTACCATCCCCTGTGTGAATCAGGAAATGATGCCTCACCAACTCCCAGAGTTCACCAACCCGGTATTTCCCTTCAGGGGCCACCATGGGTTGGTGAACTCAGAAATGTAGTCAGGAGACTGCCCTTGGGGCCATAGAGGGGGCCCAGGGCAAAGGATTTTTCCACCGACCTGGCCGCAAGCCAGAGAAAATTCATTCTTCCCGGATGGTGTTTGTCAAGACAGAAGAACAATAACAGGGACATGCAGAAGGGAACAAACATTCCCGTGTCATCCCAGCAGTGATAGTTTCAAGGGGGAAATGTCAACTTGTTTAACCAAGACTTTTTCAAAGCTCTAGTAAATTTCAAACCGCTATAGCATTTTGAACCACTTTATTCTAATTTTTAATGAAATATTATCGCCAGCCTTCGCGACACACTGATGTCCAAGAGGAAGTTAGCCTTTGGCCTAGATCTGGTGATCATGAGCAGGGGGATCATACGTGCTGACAGTTGGGCCTGAGACCTGTTCACTTTCATCTGATCACATGGAAGTACATGTTCAGTGGAATTACATTACATGTGGAATTACATTGCAAGGTTTACAGTGTAACCTGTCATCAAAGATGACACGCTCAGATAGATAACACGCTCACATGGTGAGCCATTGAGGAAGGAAAGCACCGGACACCATACTACTGCAGAAAGGAATCTGTGGGCAAGGTCCAAGAAGAGAAACAGAAGTCATTGATTTACTTATCATCAAGGGAGGCTTAATCCTAGTAAAAAGGTAGCTTCAGTAACTTTGTGAGGAAAAGATGTCTGACCATAAGCCTTGCTGCGAAAGAAGCAATCGTGGTATGTTAAAGCATGTTCTCAGTCCCTGGGGGAGTCAAAGACTTGGGGATCAGCTCTTCTACTCCTTGGCTGTGTCCTCTTGAGCAAGTCACCTTCTTCTGAGAGTTTCTGTTTTCTCATCTGCCAAACAGGAATAAGGATGAAAATTACATTGCAGAACTATACTAGAATTAAATAATCTAGTTATACACATCTTATATCTGCCGGAGCACTGTAAAAAATGATAAAGGAGACAGAAAGAGAAAATAAAAGAGGGGGAATATTGCAGACTACAAAGCAAACAGGAAGCCTTTTTTTTTTTTTTTTTTTTAAGATTCATTTGTGCATACAGAATTGGGGTACAGGCCAGAGGTGCAGGGGCGGCGAGAGGCTTCACCAGAGACAGAGTGGGGAGCA